CCAACTCAAAAAAAAAAAAAAAAAAATTGGAGTTTTCTCTTAAAGCAATGTGACCTTTAAAAATAGATATTTGTGTTGTCTGTTTATAATTTTTTTTAATATTTAAAAGTAAGGTCGGGCATGGTGGCTCAAGCCTATAATCCTAACACTTTGGGAGGCCGAGGCAAGAGGATTGCCTGAGCCCATGGGTTCGAGACCAGCCTGGGCAACTTGGTGAGTCTTAGTCTCTACAATAAATCCAGAAATTAGCCGGGTGTAGTGGTGCATACCTGTAGTTCCAGCTACTTGGAAGTTTGAGACGGAAGGATTGCCTCAGCCCAGCAGGTCAAGGCTGCGGTGGCCGTGAGCATGCCACTGCACTCCAGCCTGGGCGACAGCGAGACTCCAACTCAAAAAAATGAAATGAAATGAGATATTTAAAAGTAAACCTAAGCCGGGCTTGGTGGCTCAGCCTGTAATCCCATGCCTTGGGAGGCTGAGGTGAGTGGATTACCTGAGCCCACAGGTTCGAGACCCGCCTGGGCAACTTGGTGATACCTCATCTCTACAATAAAACAAAAAATTAGCTGGGCATGGTAGCACATACCTGAAGTTCCAGCTACTTGGAAGGCTGAGGCGGAAGGATTGCTGGAGCCCAGCAGGTCGAGGCTGTGGTGGCCAGGAGCGCCCACTGCACTCCAGTCTGGGCAACAGAGTGAGACTCCAACTCAAAAAAAAAAAAAAAAAAAAGTAAACCTGTTTAAAAGGTCATACTCTACTGGTGAAATTATTGCCATTTTGGAAAACAGTGTGACAGTTACTCAAAATGTTAATTCTGCTCCTAGGTTATAGCCAAGAGAAATGAAAACTTGTGTCCAAATAAAAACTTGAATGTAAATATTCCTAGTATCCTTACTCATCATAGTCCCAGAACAGCCCATATTCCCATCAATAGTTGAATGGATTTATACAATGTGATCCATCCATACAATGATTTATTATTCTCAGCCATAGGTAAAAATGAAGTTCTAACACATGCTACAACTTGGATCAACCTTAAAACCATAAGTGAAAAAAAGCCAGTCACAAAAGGACAAATATTGTACAGTTCTATTATGGAAGGAGGTTGGGAAAGGAGAGATGACTACTGTGGGAGAAGAGGGTTTCTATTTGGATGTGATGAAAGTGTTGTAAAATTAGATCGTGGTGATGGTTGCATAATTCGAAATATATTAAAAATACATTCATTGGTTGGTGTACTTTAAAGAGAGCTTTATAGTAGGGGATTTATATAGCTTTTTTTTTTAAGTCTTTACTTGCAAAATGTAATTTTCACTAATTCTCACCATTTGCTTCCTCCCTTCCTTATTCAGGAAGAAAGGCGAAGATTGAAAAATGCAATAATTATCCAGTCATTTATTAGAGGATATAGAGACAGAAAACAGCAAGTAAGTTTGTTTGTTTTTAAAATGAGAAAGAAGCCAAGTGCAGTGGCTCACATCTATTGTCCCAGCACTTTGGGAGATCAAGGTGAGAGGATTGCCTCAGTCCTTGGTTTCAGGACCAGCCTGGGCGACTTGGCAAGACCTCATCTCTACAGTAAATCAAAAAAAATTAGCTGGGCGTGGTGGCACACACCTGTATTTCCAGCTACTTGGAAGATTGAGGTGGAAGGATCACCTGAACCCAACACATCGAGGCTGCGGTGACTGTGAGCGTGCCACTGCACTCCAGCCTGGGTGACAGACTGAGACTCCAACTCAAAAAAATAAAAAGTAAAATGAGAAAGAGCCCGATGCAGTGGCTCAAACCTATAATACTGGCACTTTGGGAGACTGAGGCGAGAAGATTGCTGAGTCCAGGGGCTTGAGACCAACCTAGGCAACTTGGTGAGACCTCATCTCCACAGTAAATCAAAAAATTAGCCAGGCGTGGTGGCGCATGCCTGTAGTTCCAGCTACTTGGAAGGTTGAGGTGGAAAGATAGCCTGAGCCCAGTAGGTTGAGGCCACAGTGGCCATGAGCATGCCACTGTACTCCAGCCTATGCAAAAGAGTGAGACTCTAACTCAAAAAAAAAGAAAGAATTAGAAGGACATGCAAGAGCTTGTTTTAAATATGATCTGGTTATTATCATTCATTTTGTATGTATTTCTGTATACCATTTTAATGAAAGTTCTATTAATAATAGTATTTTTTGAGTAAGGAAGGAAGGGAGGGAGAGAAAAAAAAAAAATAATAGTATTTTTCCCAATAATTTTATTAATTTTATTTAGTGTAAAGATGTGTAGGTAGGTAAGTTTTTAGGTAATTTTTGTTTGTTTGTTTGTTTGTTTTGAGTTGGAGTCTCACTCTGTCACCCAGACTGGAGTGCAGTGGCTGCTCCCAGCCACTGCAGCCTCGACCTGCTGGGCTCTGGTGATCCATCTGCCTCAGCCTTCCAAGTAGCTGGAACTACAGGTACACACTACCACGCCTGGCTAATTATTTTTGGTTTATTGTAGAGATGTCTCACCAAGTTGCCCAGGCGGGTCTCGAACCCGTGGGCTCAGGCAATTCACTCACCTCAGCTTCCCAAAGGCGCGGGATTACAGGCTGAGCCACCGAGCCCGGCTGGGTAATTTTTAAATAAATTCAAGCATGGGCCAAACCACAACTGAAGATCAAAATATAAGGAGGTGATAGAAGGTTCTTTCAGTGGGTGTTTAGCATCTTTTATTATATTCTATGTTTGATTTTTTTTTAAAAACCCTTTTATTGATAAGTCCAGTAACGGCATTTTTATTGTCAGTATACTCCACTCCTGTAAAAGTGTTTAGCATATATTCTGATCATAAGAATTATGTATCCAAATTAATATAGTCATGTATTATTTTGTTTTTCTTCAGTATTCCATTCAAAGAAGTGCATTTGATCGCTATGCCAACTTGTCGCAGTCTGGGGGCACTTTTCCTATTGCTAATGGTCCCAACCTTACCCTTCTGGTAAGGCAGCTTCTGTTTTTTTACAAACAAAATGAAGACTCAAAACGTTTGGTGAGTGTTAACTACATTTTTACTTGTCCTTGTTTACATATTTTCCCGCTTCTTATTTTTTAGAAGTGGAAGTAGTGAGTATCTGATCAAGAAGTTAGATAACCCCTTTGCTATGTCTTAGCTTTTGTGAACTTTTCCTCAGCCAGCTATAATAGCTTGCCTTTGTGGTGATGTGTTTTACCTCTTAAAATTCAGTGTATCTTTTAAATAGACTTTTTCGTATTTTTATAATGGAAACTTTTAAATAGTAAAAAAGTAGGTTGGGCACAATGGCTCACATCTGTAATCCATTTGGGAGTCTGAGGCAGGAGGATCGCTTGAGCCCAAGAGTATGAGACCAGCCTGGGCAATATAGTGAGACCTCATCTCTACAAAAAAGTCAAAAAATTATCTGGACTTGGTGTCATATGTGTAGTCTCAGCTACTCAAGAGGCTGAGATAGAAGAATCATCTGAGCCCAGGAGGTTAAGGCTGTGGTGAGCTGTGATTGTGCCGCTCCGCTCCAGCCTGGGTGACAAAGCGAGACGCTGACTCGCAAAGAAAACAAAGAGAAGGGAAAAAAAGCATAATATTTTGCCCCACCTACCACATACCCCTGACCAGCCTCAGCAGTCATCAGCACACTTGAATCATTGTGATGGGCATCCTCAGTATCACATCACGATCATCTGCAATCTCTAGCACACAGGGTCTCATTTTTTAAACATCAAAAATGTCATCATATTAGTCTAAAAATGTTTCAGGATTTTGATCTTAAGCGTGCCAAGGAACAGTGTGTATTGGTGGTGGAAAATACATAGAGATGCACAGAAAGTTATTTATTTATTTTTTTGAGTTAGAGTCTCACTCTGTCGCCCAGGCTGGAGTGTAGTAGTACGCTCACCGCCACCGCAGCCTTGATCTGCTGGGCTGAGACGATCCTTCAGTCTCAGCTTTCCAAGTGGCTAGAACTACAGGCACATGCCACCATGCCCGGCTAGTTTTTTGATTTATTGTAGAAACGAGATCTTGCCAAGTTGCCCAGGCTGATCTCGCAAACCCGTGGGCTCAGGCAGTCGCTCACGTCAGCCTCCCAAAGTGCTGGGATTATAGGTGTGAGCAACTGCACCCGGCCTGAAAGTTAATTTTTAAAAATGGAACTTGTTACTATCCATTTTCACAGGAGATACATACTATGAGATTAGTATGCAATTATTAGGTTAAATATATATCTGTTCTTAGAAATTTTTGTTTACATCTATTAAAAATTTCAAATAATGTATAAAGATGGTTTTATAATGAAAAATAAGTCTTTCATACTACAAACCGAACACACTAGCAAGATCACCACATGAAATAGCTACAGAAGACAAAGGAATACTTTATTGCTCATCTAATGTTTGGCCTTAAAACCCAGCATTGCTTCCTGAGTTGAACTAGGATGGATCATGGGGAGAACTTTCTATAAACTCAAGCCAATCTAGAGAGGCAGTAAAAGCAGTTTAATCCACCCTTTCTGAACTTCTCTTGAATACAAGCTCTTTCTAGGCTGTCTGAAGTTGATGAGCAGAAGAACCAGAAAAGCACAACAGGGAGGGGGCACATAACATCACAACGGATACCTAACCCAGGGGAGGTTGAGAGCCAGTTGGAGGCCCAAACTTCACCTGCACACAGCTTGCTTTTATAGCTAATCCTGGCTTATACCCCACATATGTATATTTTAAACAACAAACAAACAAACATAGCAGCAGAAAATTTGGCTTTCTTTCTGGAACAGACTGTCCCTGTCCTCACAAACTCTAATCTTGTAGATTAAAAGACCACCTAGAAGTCCAGACACCCCTGTGCCATGGGATGTCATGTCTCTCCAGAGTACCCACTGCTTTTAAGTGTGAGGTCTAGTCAGTTTAGAAACCACGTGGTTTCTAAACATAGTACTTGGTACATTTGCACAGTCCTGCCTCAGAAGTCATCTATGAAAAGCTTGGGGATAAATGAAGGTATGTGACTCTAGGCCTGAAGCAAACACAAAGCAAATTGCTCATGGGCAGAGTTCGAACCTCGAAATGAAATTAAATGTCATCAAACGTGGCTAATATAAGAAAAGTAAATTTGAATTTCTATTCAGTTTGCAAACAAAGATGTGAGAGCAGTACATTAACCTTTGAGGAAAAACCTCCTGCCCTAAACTTCAAGTTCTTTACTTCCCACTCTAGGAACAAGCAGAATGCTACTTTTGATGGTTTTTCAAATATACTCTATGCAAAAAGAAGCATGTATGGCTATTTCTTCCTCATCTCCTCCCCTTTTTAAAAAAAATTATTACTTTAGTCTTAGATTTTCTGCTAAGACAAATAGAGTCTATGGTTATATTGTCTTTTGTATACAGTTTTTGATCTTTAATTATTCTTGAATTAATAACTTTCATGTGTTAGTTAAATTTTTTTTTAGTTCCTTCATATAATCTTCTTCTGCTTTCTAGCAGTATTATGCAGTGTTTCTCAGGACAGTTTTCTATATGACTCAAGCTGTCAGATGATTAGATCTTCTCTGACCCTGGAGCTTTTTTCCTCATGTACTAGTTCAAACTGGTTGCTTTCAGGCCTGCCATTATCCTGGGAAAACCTTTTGCGTTGCTTCAGTTTTATATGCTCCCCATATCTTTTTGTTTTCTTGGTTTACTTCCTTGTGTTATTGATATACATCTGTAGTTAACCTCTTGAGAAAGAATATGTAAGAAGGTATGTTTTTAAGACTTTTCGCATCTGCATTTAGTAAAAAACAACAAAAGAAGTTAAAGCATATGTTTAATGTAGTTATACTAGAACTTTTTAGATGATACTGGTTCATTTACCAAAATTGTAAAATTCAGCATTTGAACCCTGTCTAGAAAGTGTTTGTGTATGATTACAGTGTTGCTACGGCTTTGAGTGTTTAAAATTTCACAGACAGCTTGGAGCATAACTACTTGATAGATGTATTCCTCTAGTGTCTACAGTGGTCCTTTGACTTAATATATGGCTACTGTATGTCTTATTTATATTGGTTAATTGATGGTACAGCTTCATGAAGTACATATCAGATAGTGCAGAAAGTATTTGTATCCTATTGGTTCCTGAGAAAATACGGGTAAGGTATCTCCAGACAGTTCAAGAAGGAAGCTTGTATGTGGCCAGTTAACTAATATTTGGAGTAGATCACAGAGTTACTTCTTCCCAACTTAGGGCATACTGTAATTTGTTAAGCAAAATTCATTAATATTTGCATTGTTTAATAATATTTTAGTTCAAAGAAATTCAAAGGAGAAACTACTTAAAAATACGAGGCAAAGAAAAGGTCACATGTTACATTTATAACTAGCTGCATTTAAGAAGCTATCTTTTAGTTTTGGATGGTTCTAGTTGGATCTTATGAAATGAAAAAATAGCATACCTGCATAATGAACATTTGTATACCTAATCCTGAATTGTACCCCACATCTTTAAAATAGAAAATTAAAAGTTAAAAAAAAAGAAATGAAAAAGTAAATCACCAGTCTATTTCACAAAAATATAGTTGAGAACGTGGAAGAGATTCCTTGTTAGGTATTGAGTCTTCAAAATCACTTATGACAGCTATGTACATTATGTGTTCAGGCCTCTTGAATACTAGTGACAGAAGTCTGACTCAGTCTTTACTGAACTCATTGGCTAATCCTTGTATCCAGGAGAATAAGAAATTCTGGTTAGCCTGGTCAGATACCGTATCTTGTGTTGGAGACAATGGGCTAGGATTGCCTTCCTTGTCAAAAGTTGGTGGAGTTAGAGAACGGAAGTATCCATAAGGAAAGGATGCTGGAGACACCACAAAAACACAAGAAAGAGGTGAAAAGAGAATACATCTTCTCTATAACTTAAGATTCATGCGGTATTTCTCATGTATTTTTATTATGGATATTTGATTTTTGCAGATGAACTTCTTTGTTTCAGATTGACATGAGCTTTAAGTATACTTTGTTTTGGTAACTAGTAATTTAGCTTAATACTGATGTATTATTTTAAGATAGAAAATGCAAATACTACTAAATAAAACCTGACTTAGAAGATTTACTTCTCATCAGGGTTTGCTTAGGTTTGTTAAAGTGTCTATTACCACTTAAGGAAGTTTGGAGTATTATGTAATTTAGCAAACAATTACAGTTTTGTGGATTGAGAGTTGTATGTTTTATGTTTTGCATTTTCAGATATGGCTGTATCAGAATTTAATTAAACACAGCTCTCTATTTGTCAAGCAGTTGGATGGATCTGAGAGACTTACATGCTTATTTCAAATAAAGAGGTTGATGAGCCTCTGTTGCAGGTAAATTCTCTTGAGTCAACAGCTTATGTAATCACTTTGAATGTCTAGGGGAATACGTTTTGATTTTCGTTTTCTGAGACTGGCTTTTTCACAGTTTTGTGGATTTTTTTTTTTTTTTTTTTTGAGGCCGTGGAATTCTCTGTATTATGATTTTCACTCTAGGCGATTCTGGTCATGTGACATAGAAGTTAAAACACAGATTCAAAGTATCTTCCAAATGATATTATCTTTCATGGATGCCCCGGGGTTATCTTGTGAAATGTTAGATGTCCTGCTTACTAGTGAATGAACAAGGACTCCTGATGTGAGAGTGATTTCATTCTGTAAGGGTTTCTCCCAAAATACTGTTTGAAGTCTGCCTCTTTAGAGTATACCTTTTACCAGGCTTACTTATTATTTATGTATGAACTCAAAATAAGTCATTGCCTTGGCTTTTTCTTGTGAATACAACGTGTCTCCCAGGAATTTTAGTCTCTGTTAGTGATCTATGCCTGAGTCAATGGTCATATCATCTGTGGTTTGTAAAATGGTGATTCTTCCTATTATCTTGTTTCTTCAGTACTTATTAGTTGACACTCTTTTATAAAGAATACTCCCCACATTTTCCCTTTAGTCTCAGTAAGACCTCGTGTATTTTTAAACTTGCAGTGTGTGAAATATTATTCCTTTGGATGACTTGTTTATGGATAGAGAGATCCTTTTAGTTAGCCTCTCTGTCCTTTGACTTGGCCCCATTCATATTTTGAGACGGCTTTGCTTTCTGTGAAGAGAGTGTCCTAGGCTTAACTTGTACTTTCCCAGCCCTGGGGCTGTTGAAGAGTGGAATTTTAATAAAGTGAAACTTAAAAAGTAAATGTTAGAAATTTTATCTCAGCTGGGCTCGGTGGCTCAGCCTGTAATTCCGCGCCTTTGGGAGGCTGAGGTGAGTGGATTGCCTGAGCCCGCGGGTTCAAGACCCGCCTGGGCAACTTGGCAAGACCTCATCTCTACAATAAAATCAAAAATCAGCCGGGCATGGTAACACGCGCCTATAGTTCCAGCTACTTGGAAGGCTGAGGCGGCAGAATCGCTGGAGCCCAGCAGGTCGAGGCTGCGGTGGCCGGGAGCAGCCACTGCACTCCAGTCTGGGTGACAGAGTGAGACTCCAACTCAAAAAAAAAAAAAAAAAAAGAAAAGAAATTTTATCTCAAGTCTGTGATATTAATACACCAGTAGTCTTATCTGCTATGTGCAGAACATTAAATTTTAATTTTATCGTTATTATGTCTTTCCAAAACCACTCGTATCACATACATACTTTTTCATGCTGACTAATATTTCTAAAGCCTGGGGTCCCTGAAGTGTTTGGCTTTCGACCTAGATATAGAATCACTGGGTCACAGGGTAGCTATGTATTTAACTTTATGAGAAACTACTAAACTTAAAACAGCAGTATATGCGAGTCTCGGTTGCTCCATATCCTTAACACCTGCTATTGGCTGTGTTAAAAATCTAGGCAGTCTAACGAGTTTTTGGTTATATTTTATTGTAACTTGAATTTGTGTTTTCCAGATTACTAATAATGGTAGCATCCTTTCAAGTGCTTACTGGTCACTCAGATGTCTCCTTTTTGAAAGCATGTGCTCAAATCTTTTAGCTAACTTTTTAGCTGGGTTATTTGTCTCTGGACAGCATGGTTAAGCTGCCCTTTTCCTATCCAGTGTCACACCCATAATCCTGGACTGCATCCTGTACTCTCCACTCCTCACTCAGAAGCACTATTCCAGCAGTTTTTTCTTTGTGTCATACATGCTACTAATTTTTCCAGGTTAAAGAGACTCCCACTGCCGTCACCACCTGCAGTGCCATGTCTCTGCTCACCGTGGTGGCACGGCTCCTCATCGTTTACAGTTCTACTCCTACCATGCTCAGAAACCCAACACTTGTGTCAGGTCACCAGAGGGAGGCATTACTAAGGGGAATATTGTGAAAGAATGTCCAACAGGCCATTAATAAAGGGGGGAGGTTGTTGTGTAGAAACAGAAGTTAACCTGTAGTAAACTAATAAGCCATACAAATATTTTCCATCCAGAGCTGTACAAATTACTCCTGTTTCTGGCCAGGCAAAAGGGTTTTGTAAAAGTGTAAATTCCAGTAAGACAAATTCTCACTTGAGTCTGCTGAAACATATTACTGGGTCCCTCATTAAAGTTATTGTGTAGTCAAATAGATTCTGCTAAGAAATAGAGGGAGGGAGGGAAAGGAAAGACACCTATCCAATACATTGTGCAGATAACAAGGGAAATATGAACATAAATTTAGTATTAGACAAAGTGACTAACCTGAGCTATGTGAGTGAAAGGGGGTGCTATTACTGGGACTGTAAGACCAGGTTGTTAGCCCCCTAATATTAGTTAATATTACTCTTAAACATCAAAGAAACAAGTCACAGTCCATGCAGAGGACATCCTTCGAATGCAGAGGACATGTTCACAACAACTTTCTTCTTGATAGCAAAAGAAATGACTCAGATATCCACCAACATATGAATGGACAACCTAAATGTGGTCTTTCCATATAGTGGAATACTATTTATAGCAACAAAAAGGACCAAGTTTTGGACACACGTTCCTTGGATGAATCTCAGAAAGATGCTGAGCCAAAGAATCTAGACACTGAGTTCTTACCATATGATTCTTTACACAGAGTGTAAGGTGCAGACATGGAAAGCCTTGAATTCATCTTTGAACGAGATGATATACACTTTTAAAGAGGTTCTTATCTAAGTTTAATTAGATGTAGTTTGTCTTGGTATAGTTCATGGAGTATAATACTTCTCATACTGTGTTTTGTAATGTTTTTCTTGTCCGTTTCTCCCTCTGTGCATTTTCCATGTCTATAAACCTAGTGCTAACATACTGTTTGGTGCATAATAAGGATCTTTAAAAAACTGTCTAAATGACAATATTTGATCATTTTCTCATCTGTCTTTAAGATATGCCTATTTCAGAGATACTATATTATTAAAACAGAGTGGTTCAGATATTTGCCATTAACATTGAGAGTAATTTGGGGAAAATTTTGGTGACATTTGTCCTCCAGTAAGGGTGTGAATACTTTTTTCCATTTTTACAGGTTACTGCAAAACTGTAATGATGACAGTTTGAATGTTGCACTTCCAATGCGAATGCTTGAGGTGTTTTCATCTGAGAATACTTACTTGCCTGTTTTACAAGATGCTAGCTATGTGGTGTCAGTAATTGAACAAATTTTGCACTACATGATTCAAAATGGTAAGTAGCAGGTGTGCTCAGAATTGGGCTTGGCATTATTGTGTGAAGGAAGTGCAGGTTGGCATGCTTTCGGAACTCTGCCTTGCTCTGTAGGTCAGAGTGTGATTGGTGTATTGGAATCATTGTGCAGAGCCAATGATACCCACAGGGTAGCAAGTTCCAGCGTCTGTCCTCAGCTCTGCCCACTCTGAAAATCTGGAAACATGCTACTTGCTTTAATATTTTTCTTTTGCTTGTAAATGGAGAAAGTTAACATATGCTTTCAGAAATTATCCTGGTACTCTAATCATCTATGTGTCTGCACTGAAGGAGCCAGGCCTTCCATAACTGAGCAGGAAGGGGTTTCTTCACTTCATGCTCACCCTGAGTGGATAGGAAAGATACAGATGTGTGAGTTAGTCACATGAAGAACCTGTCTTATTATTTTTATTTTAAAAAATGACATATCCTCACATTAGTGCAGTAGAAGAGAAGACAGTATTCCGTTTGAATTTTCTTTCTAACTCAATGCTAAAGCTTTTATACATTGATAATGTTTGGTTTTTTGTTTTTGTTTTTTTGATTTGGAGTCTAACTATGTCTCCCAGGCTGGAGTGCAGTCACACTCTCGGCTACTGCAGCCTCAACTGCTGGGCTCGGGTGATTCTTTCTACCTCAAGTTCTTCAGATAACTACTCAGTTCCAAGTTACTGGAACTACAGGTGCACACCACCATGCCTGGCTAATTTTTTTTCTTTTTTTGAATTGGAGTCTCACTCTGTCACCCAGACTGGAGTGCAGTAGCCGCTCCCGGCCACTGCAACCTCGACCTGCTGGGCTCCGGCGATCCTTCTGCCTCAGCCTTCCGAGTAGCTGGAACTACAGGTGTGCGCTACCACACCCGACTAGTTTTTTATTTATTGCAGAGATGAGGTCTCACCAAGTTGCCCAGGCAGGTCTCGAACCCGCGGGCTCAGGCAATCCACTCACCTCAGCCTCCCAAAGGTGCGGGATTACAGGCTGAGCCACCGAGCCCGGCTGGTTTTTTTTTTTTTTTTTTTTTTTACTTTATTGTAGAGATGAAGTCTCACTAAGTTGCCTGGGCTAATCTCAAACCCCTGGGCTCAGGCAGTCCTCTCAACTCCACCTTTCAGAGATTACAGGTATAAGCCACTGCACTGGCTGATAGTGTTTTTTTTGGGGGGAGTTGTAGAGTCTGAGTCTCACTCTGTCACCCAGGCTGGAGTACAGTGGCACACTCACAGCCACTGCAGCCTCGACCTGCTGGGCTCAGGCAATCCTTCCACTTTAGTCTTCCAAGTAACTGGAATTACAGGCTTGTGCCACCACACCCTGCTAACTTTTTTGATTTATTGTAGTGACAAAGTCTCACCATATTGTCTAGGCTGATATTGAGCCTGTTGGCTCAGGCAGTCCTCTCGCCTCGGCCTCCCAAAGTGCTGGGATTACAGGCATGGACCACCGTGCTCGGCTGATGATGTTCTTTGTTTTTTTGTTTTGTTTTTGAGTAGGACTTTCACTCTGTTGCCCAGGCTGGAGTGCAGTAGCACACTCAAGGCCAAGGCCACTGTAGCCTTGACCTGCTGGGCTCAGGCGATCCTTCCGCTTCAGCCTTCCAAGTAGCTGGGACTACTGGCATGTACCACCACCCCTGGCTAAGTTTTTTATTTATTGTAGAGACAGGTTCTTGCCATGTTGCCCAGGCTGGCCTCAAACCCACAGGCTCAAGCAGTCCTCTCGCCTCCGCCTCCCAAAGTGCTGTGATTACAGGCTTGAGCCACCATACCCGGCGATAATGTTCTTAAAATGGTGGCATACTCCTATAATCCTAGCACTTTGGGAAGCCAACGTGAGAGAATTGCCAGACCCCGTGGGCTCAAAACCAGCCTGGGCAACTTGGCAAGACCTCATCTCTACAATAAATCAAAACAATTAGCTGGGCATGGTGGCACACGCCTATAGTTCCAACTACTTGGAAGGCTGAGGCAGAAGAACCTCCTGAGCCCAGCAGGTCGAGGCTGTGGTGGCCGCTGCATGCCCCTGCACTCCAGCCTGGGCGACAGAGTGAGACTCCAACTCAAAAAAAAAAATGACTATATTACATAAAATATAGTGAACTGTACTTGAAATTCCTCTGAGGACACATTAATGGCATGAGAAACTATGAAACAAATATGATTTTTAAAATTTTTATGATGAACAGAATAAAATTTAAACTGGGGAAACACTCGGTCTCATTACTTTCACAGGTAGAAAGCAAAATACTTCAGGGCTCCTGACTTCAGAAGTATTCATCAACACTAAAAATAATTATGTGGCTAGGCTCGGTGGCTCAGCCTGTAATCCCGCGCCTTTGGGAGGCTGAGGTGAGTGGATTGCCTGAGCCTGTGGGTTTGAGACCCGCCTGGGCAGCGAGACCTCATCTCTACAATAAATCAAAAAATCAGCCGGGCATGGTAGCGCATGCCTATAATTCCGGCTACTTGGAAGGCTGAGGCGGAAGGATCGCCGGAGCCCAGCAGGTCAAGGCTGCGGTGGCCGGGAGCAGCCACTGCACTCCAGCCTGGGCGACAGACTGAGACTCCAACTCAAAAATAAATAAATAAATAAATAAAAATAAAAATAATTATGTGATTAGTCATGAAAAGAGCTGAAGGTTGTTCTGGTTACTGATATAAGTATAATAACTGTGTTTTTGTTTTCTTGAAGTGATGGGCTAGATTAAATCTTGTTGACCTTGAAATCCAGCTGATTTAGTTCTGGATTTAAACTGTACAAATTAAGTTCTTACTCATTTTAGCCTTATAATTTGGCTAACTTTTTTGTAGCTACTTATTTGTTAAAACTACTGAGTTAATTAAAAGTATATTGAAATTTGTGGAATTTGGTCTTTTAAAAAACAATAACTAGAAATGGTTCATTGTATGAATTGATGTATTGTATATATTGACTTAAGGGACTTAAGGCTAAACATTTGATGAGAATTTTTACTTGTTTTCTAAAATTGTAAGGAGGATAACCAGGAAATATGCATTATTTGAAATGTATCTAAAAATAGGGCATGCTTGAAAACCTTACACTGAGACTACTACTTCTGGCATCTTCTTTAGTATGGCCAATTTTTCACTTTTTGTTTTGTTTTGTTTTGTTTTGTTTGAGTTGGGATCTCACTCTGTCACCCAGGCTGTACAATGGGACCATCCCAACTCACTACAGACTCAACCTCTTGGACTCAAACAGTCCTCTTGCCTCATCCTCTGGAATAGCAGGGACTACAAGCCCTGCTTCCACCACTCTGCCTGCCTAATTTTTGTGGTTTTTGTAGAGACGAGGTCTCACTCTGTTGCCTAGGCTGGTCTCAAACTCCTGTGCTCAAGCAGTTCTCCTTCCTCGGCCTTCCAAAGTGCTAAGATTACAGGCATGAGCCACTGTGCCCTGCCAAATTTTAGCAGTCTTTTCATTAGTTATAGTTGGAATTGTTATTGTACATTATGTATTATGATGCTTTCTAACACTTGCAGAAGAACTTAATACTCTAGTCATGATGTTTAGTTAATCTATTCAGTATACACATTGTTAATGACGTGATACTTCTAAAAAGACTTGATGTATTTTTTTTTTTAATCTTGATGTTTTGTCTTTTCAGTTTTATAGGAAAAGAGCTTTCAAACTTCCATATTGAGTTTTTCTAGTAGTCAGTATATATTAGGTTACAATTGGGGTAGTTGAAAAGTAGGTCTAATAGAGTTCTGAGTATTTGTTGTTTAGTAATCTTGACTCAGGTACAAAGCTGTGTAGGACTGTTTTTATAAACTTTCTCAAGCAAGTGAGTTGTTTTTAGTGTTTACTAACAAATATACCTGTACAATGAAGGGTTACTCACAAATCACACCTGAGCATTGTTGTTACTATTCTATAAAATCAGGGCAAATCATAAAATAATGTATGGTTTGCATCATTGATGATAACCAGAGTTTATTTCCACTGAATACCCAGAAATCTTATCGAAAGCATAGAGTGAAACATTTAATGAAGGTCATAAAATCTGTTTCTGCTTACGTGTAAGTTGCCTTTCGATCATTTACCTTCCCTAGTGCCCAGATTGTGGTCTCTAGATAGGTCATTTTTTCTAAAATGAACATAAGACTCCCTGGAGAAAAGACTGATTGCATGTCACAGTCAGGACGCAGGAGGTGAGACGGGGGCATATGTCTCATCAGAGGGCAGAGTACTCCCAGGGACCACTGGACACAGGAGCCCCTGAAGCTCACCTCAGGGGCCACAGATGAATTAATCTGAGGATCAGTTAGGATAATAACAGCAGTGTATTATAACATATCTATATATTTAATTCTATGAGTTCAGCATGATATTAATAATGTGGAACATGATATTAATAATATTAATATGATATTATTAATGATACTAATAATATTAATAAGTTGGATGGATTGTTTGAGTTCAGGAATTTGAGACCAGCCTAAGCAACATAGTGAGACTTAAGCTCTATAAATAAGTAAAGAAACAAACAAATAAATAATCCAGTCTCTGTAAACCAACAAATAAACTATTTGGGTTTGGTGGTGCAGGCCTGTAGTCCCAGCTTCTCAGGGGGCTGAGGCAGAAGGATTGCCTGAGTCCAGGAAGTAAAGTCTGTGTGGAATTATGATCATGCCACTGCACTTCAGCCTCGGGGAACAGAGCAATACCCTTTCTTAAAAACAAAAATTATATCTTCAGTTTGTTCTGAATGAGTTGGGTATATTGGTGAAAGAGATTGGCTTCAGTTGACAATTGTTGATGTTGAGCAGTGGGTTTAGATGCCATTCATCTTGCTATGTATTTAATGTTTCCCTTAATAACATGTTAAAGAATAATTAACTTAATTTTGAACCTGTAGAGATTTGTAAAAGTTTAAAAATTGGAGAGTTTTTTTTTCTTTATTATAAGAAAAGCTACTTTATTTTAAATATGTGTTTTTCCTTTTAGGGTATTATAGGTCTCTCTATTTGTTGATAAACAGCAAACTTCCATCAAGTATTGAATATTCTGATTTATCTCGAGTTCCTATAGCAAAAATATTGCTAGAGAATGTCCTAAAACCATTGCACTTTACTTACAACTCCTGTCCAGAAGGTGCAAGGTGAGGATGGAATGGCTTTATTGATTTTGTCCTTTTACAAGATCTGTATCTAACAGTAATGTTTCCATAGGATGCTATTTTAAATACAAACCTGAAAGTCAAATTTTCACTTTAGTAGAATTGATACATAGCTTATAGAAAAATGTACTTTTTCCTTTTGGCCTGCTCCCTAATATAAATTTGTAATTCTGATGACCTGGTTATTTTTTTGCTTTCTAGTCAAAAAGATAGAAAAACATGGTAGCGTTATCTTAATAGAGAAGACATAAAATTAAGTTTGCTTCAGGTTGACCTTGTTGACGTTAATGACTAACTTGATTAATTCAGAATAGTAGACTTTAAGGAGTATTTTAAAAGGTTATTTTAGTCAATGATTTGTTGAATAATATATTTAGATTTTATTGGAAAACTTCCATTTTTCTTTTTCAGGCAGCAAGTGTTTACAACCTTCACAGAGGAATTTCTGGCAGCACCTTTTACAGATCAAATTTTTCATTTCATCATTCCGGCGTTAGCAGATGTACAGACCGTTTTCCCTTACGAGCCCTTTCTGAATGCACTATTGTTAATAGAGAGTAGATGTTCCAAAAAGAGTGGTGGAGCACCATGGCTTTTCTATTTTGTTTTAACTGTTGGCGAAAATTATTTGGGTATGAAATACTAGATACATTTTATGTGAACTCGTGTGTAGGAAGCAGTAGCAGATGAGTCAAGAGAAGGCTATGCGGTGACAAGTGTCATGTGAAGGTGGTGTCTAGGGTGGGCATTTCTTGGAAGAGTGTGTTTTCTGAAGGGCAGTGTCTTTAGGGAGAGTTTGTAGATATGATAAAAAAGTCTTATTTAGATACATGATTCACAAGGCCTCACAGATTAAGAGAGTTAACTGAATTAAATGAGAGAACGCTTCTGTGAGAGCAGTGGTATTTTCCTACTTTTGCTAAACTTGGAATGTTTCTATTCTAGAATGATAGCATCTTCATCTAGTATATTTTAATACATACATATATACATGAATTACTGGTGTAAAAAAACAAGAAAAGCCACACTGTTTTTCTTACTGTCTCTCTCACTACAACACACTTCAGTGACCAGATGTAAGGGTTTTTTTCCCCACACACTAAGCATTTCTCCAGCGAATGCCAACAATTATAGGTGTCCTGTAATTCAATTTGATTCTGATGCAGTCCACCTCGAGATAGCATCTGATGTCACACATTGAAGGCCCAGTCCCACAAGCTTGCGTCCACTTCAGAGGCCTGTTGCAAGTAGTAGATCTTCACCTGTACATCTGATCAGCCAGCAGAAATTGGGGTTCCCATGACTTCTCTTTGGGTTCGATAATTTACTATTATAGCTCACAGAACGCAGGATAGCTCTTGACTTATACATACCAGTTTACTTTAAAGAATATAAATATACAGATGAACAGCCAGGTGGCAAAATGCATGGGGCAAGGCATGTGGGAAAGAGCACAGAGTGTCCCTGCCTTCTGTGCATGCCACCCTTCCAGCACCACTATGTGCTCAGCAAGCAGGGAGCTCAGTGAATCTTGTTCAGGAGTGTCATAGAGGTCAATCTCCAGCCCACCTCCCTAGAGATTGTTTGGTGGGGCTGAAAGTCCCATCCTAAGTCAAATCTGTAGCGTAAACTAAGATATGGTCTAAAGGAGTTGGTATGAGTAACAAAAGCTAGTCTTGTCTTTCAAGAAATTCCAAGGGTTTTAGGTAATGCGATGTGAACGGGAAGGGACAACGACCAAATGCGTTTCTAAAACACGGACTTTTAAAATAATAAGTTCTGTCAGAAATGTCTCTTTGCATATGAGAAAAATGACATGAGTTTTATATTTTTCAAAATAGCTTTTCACTAAAATGAAAATAACATTGTTTTACAAAGGAGCCCTCTCTGAGGAAGGCCTGCTGGTGTATTTGCGAGTGCTCCAGACCTTCCTTTCTCAGCTGCCCGTCTCCCCTGCCAGTGCGAGCTGTCACGACTCAGCCAGCGACTCCGAGGAGGAGAGTGAAGAAGCGGACAAGCCCTCGAGCCCTGTAAGCCTTGCTCCCCGGTGTTCATGAGGCTGCACTATAGGCAACTCCAGTCTTCTGCCCACCCTTATTTTTAATTTCATAAGTCCAACTCTTCAGCAGTCTTGTACAGATAAGTCTCCTCGCCCCTGCTCTACCATACTTTTTCCTGGTGATTGAGAATGTCTTCTTTTATAGCTTTTTCTGCACATTTTTAGGAGATTATATGGAGACACATAGTTTTGCAAAAAAAAAAAAAAAATCAGGTATTTGGTTATTATTACTTAGGAAATATTTTCTAGAAGTAAAATTAAATTACTTTTAAGTTTTTCTTGGCTGGGCTCTGTGGCTCAGCCTGTAATCCCAGCACTTTGCAAAGCCGAGGCAAGTGGATTGCCTGAGCCCACGGGTTTGAGACCCACCCAGGCAACTTGGCGAGACTTCTTCTCTACAATAAATCAAAAATTAGCCAGGCATGGTAGTGCGCGCCTGTAGTTCTGGCTACTTGGAAGGCTGAGGCAGAAGGATCGCCAGAGCTCAGCAGGTCAAGGCTGTAGCGGCCAGGAGCGTGCCACTGCCCTCCAGCCTGGGCGACAGAGTGAGACTCCAACTCAAAAAAAAAAAAGTTTTTCTTACCCATTTTCTTATCATTAAGCTTTTGCTGTGTACTTTCAAAGAATAAAAAACTTTAGAATGATATATGCACACATATTTTGTGTGTTTTGCTCAGGGGATATATCTGCTGCTGATCTTTTCTTTGTTTTTGAGTTAGAGTCTCTCTCTGTCACCCAGGCTGGAGTGGTGCAGTCGCACACTCGTGGTCACTGCAGCCTCGACCTGCTGGGCTCAGGTGATCCTTCTGCCTCAGCCTTCCAAGTAGCTGGAACTACAGGCATGCACTACCACACCTGGCTAATTTTTTTATTTATTGTAGAGATGAGTCCTCGCCATGTTGCCCAGGCTAGTCTTGAACCTGTGGGCTCACACAGCCTCTCGCCTCTGCCTCCCAAAATGCTGGGATTACAGGGGTGAGCCACCATGCTTGGAATGCTACTGATCTTTTCTTTGGCCTTAATGAAACAATTGAAATGACTTGAGGTATGACTGTAATAGGTTGTTAATAAGGAATTTCATACTGGCTACTACTAAGTCTAATCCCAAAAATATATGTGAGAGTGGCTTGAGTTTTCCAGGTGAAGTAAACCTTCAGAGTATGGTGAAGTGAAAGGGTGTGTTAGTGCTGTACTTTCCAGATACAAGGCGCTTCATTAGCATAGAATTTTTAAAAATCACAATAATGAAAGGAAAACATTATATAATTACTAGGGGTTATGGCTGTGGGGAGGGCTGACTACAGAGGGGTGAAACTACATTTTTTGATGGATGTGTAATTGTTGGATCTGTCAAAACTCAGAACCATACATACCAAAAAGTATATATTTTTTGGTAAGGTCAGAAAAAAGAATCATTTCTGTAGATGGAATATTGATAAAATTTTTGTTCTTAGAAGAGAGTTAATTTTTTAATAATTACCTTTCAGAGTTTCTGCGAAATTAAAATTTAAGGGCAATATATTTTGTATTCATGTGAAGATGGGGTGATGGGTTTTGTGAACTATGGAGAAAAGACAGAAAGTTCTTCCTTTGGGCTCTCAGACACAATGAAAGTAGAACTCAAAGACTCAGAAACATAAACCTCCCCCCACAGAATCTCTTGTTGTAGGTATAATTTTAGCATTTAAGAAATGGGATCAGCTTATTGATCTCTCAGATTGCCTCTATCGAGTATACTACTCCACTTAATTTTTTTTCTTAACACGTAAGGGTTTCAAGATCTGTTTATTTTATAGCTTGATACTTCAGTTTCTCTTTTATATTTATTCTCTTCACTTACCCTTGCTTTGAGGATTATTCCTTCTTTCCTGGCCAGGTTTGGGTTGAGAACTAATGACCCAGTTTTGAGCCAGGTACTTGTAGATTTGACTCCAAATAACTCTTATGTCAATGTTTATATATTGCCTTTTCTCTCCTTTGGTACTTACAATTATGTAAAACCTAATTTGATTGTATGCAGTTTTTCTAGGGTCAGAATATACCTGGGAGAAACTTTTTTGTCCTTTAGTTTTTCTTTTTTTTTTTTTTCTTGAGTTGGAGTCTCACTCTGTCACCCATGCTGGAGTGCAGTGGCATGCTCACAGCCACCCCAGCATCGACCTGCTGGACTCTGGCGATCCTTCTATGTCAGCCTTTCAAGTAGCTGGAACTGTTCACAGGTGCGCACTACCATGCCCGCTAATTTTTTATTTATTGTAGTGATAAGATCTCGCCAAGTTGCCTGGACTGGTCTCGAACCCGCAGGTTTAGGCAATCCACTTGTCTCAGCCTCCCAAAGTGCTGGGATTACAGGTTGAGCCACCGAGCCCGACCACTCTTTTAGTTTTTCTGTATAATCTGTTGACTTCCTGTTTCTGTCTGATTTTTAAATTGTACACTACAGATTAGCTGGGCATGGTAGCATGTGCCTGTAGTTCTGGCTGCTTGGAAGGCTGAGGCAGAAGGATCGCTGGAGCCCAGCAGGTCGAGGCTGCTGTGGCCGGGAGTGTGCCACTGCACTCCAACCTGGGCAACAGAGTGAGACTCCAACTAAAAAAAAATGTACACTACAAAAGCAGTAGTACTAGTATAGTACTTTCTTGTTCTAACACACCTTTTGTTAGGTGTACCTTAAAGAGTCAGATTTTACAGATGACAGATGAAATTAATGTTACCTATAAAGCACTGTTTTATTTGGTAAATTATTATGTTTCCAAACAGTACAGTGAGCAACAACTAATGTCCTGTATGTTCCCATATATCCATATATATGAAAAAAATATATATCTTTGGTTAATACCCCAAATGAATAAACTACATAGGTTAGCTTAGGTTTTATTCAGTGAATCAGATCTTCTAATGAAATTGAAATATAAAATAGATGTGTTATATCTAGACTTTGATTTAAAAAAATTTAATATTCTCACTTATTTTGTTTAATTGTGACCTTTCAAATAATTTAAAATGGAAATGTCATCAGGTAATAATACAGTTTTACTTTGTATGCTGTCTTAGTACAACTTGATCTTAAAAATGTGAAATAAATTATTTTTGAAAGTAAATACTAAAAATACTGTCGTATAGATAGGCAAAAACTGAGCATTCTGAATTTCTGTTATTCTGCTAGACAAACTGATGCCTGTTAGTGACTGGACCTCCAGAGGATTTCACTTTACCTCAGTGAATGATTAGTAGAGTTGGTGATGTGGAGAATTTTGAGATAATACCTATGTTGTATTTTTACTTGAAGAAAAATGCGATTTGATGTGTGTTTGTAGTGTAGAGGCAAATTCTAATAGAATTCATTCACTGAATGCGATTGTTCTGCTGTGTTCTAGCAGGATGGCAGACTGTCAATACCATATATTACAGAGGAATGTCTGAAAAAACTGGATACAAAACAGCAGACCAACACCCTGCTAAACCTGGTATGGAGAGACTCAGCGAGTGAGGAAGTTTTCACTAGGATGGCCTCCATCTGCCACACTCTGATGGTGCAGCATCGCATGATGGTACCCAAAGTCAGGCAAGTCTGTTGGAATGTCAACACTGTTACACCAACAGTGAAATATACTTTCCTCCGTGGAATTTGCTTTGGTTTTAATTTGGGTCAGTTTTATCTGCTACTTTCTGATAGAATATAGTACAGAATAGTCACTGTCCAAGCAGTTCCTAAAAAATAAGTTTTTCTTTTCTAAACCAACTAATACTGTTTGGGTCCTTTTTCTGGTCTGTGAAGCTCCAGCATGCCTTGTGTATATTATGTCAGCAAATCAAATTGGCTTCTGTTTTGGTAATACCTTATAAAAACAAATTTAGCCACCCATTTGAAAGATGGGACTCATACTCGCATTTATAAATACTTTATATTACATATCTTTTAGGCTTTTTTCATAGTACCCTTTTTATCAGATTGTACTTGACAGTTAATTCTTATGAGTAAGTTTTTGTTTTTCAAACCATGAAATAAACTTTTGGTTGGGACAAAAAAAAAAACAAGTTAAAAATGTGACTAATTTATACTTAGGTAATTGTGACAGTATTATTTGAATTATTTTGTATCCCTCCATTTTGAGTGATACTTTAGTGAGTTTTCTTGAGAATTTAATAGAATATTTAACTGGATACAGTGCAAAAAATACATAGTGGTTTTGCTTGGACCTGAGCATCTGATGATGCCTGGCAAGTTGTGTCAAGTGAGCAGGTCCCACATAGGTAGATTCATGCTACCCTGTAGACTTTTCCCAGTTTTTATAGAATGCTATCTCACATGAAGAGTGATTTCTGTTGGTTAGAAGAGCATTCTTTGAAATAACCTGTAAGTAGAGAACGCATCATCAGTTGAAATTTCCTTGTAAACACTAATGCAGCCAACTAATGAGGTGCTATCTTCGCTCGCTGGTGTTTATTGCCATTGGAGGAAGTAGATGTCAGTGAAACTGGGGCTCCTCCATTAGGTGATTAGCTCTTTGTAGGCTAATTGCGTGAGAGCAGGATGTGAGATCTGAGGTTCCCAGCAGCTGAACCAGGACACTTGATTTTATTGCAGTGCAAAGTCCATTGCTGTGGATGGTAATTACTGGATTTAAATGCATCCCTGCCCTGGTCTGAAGTTTACTAGTGAACTGCTTCCAAAAGGTGTTTAATGGGTAAAGGCACTCCTGTGTAGGCTTGATTTTTATGAGTACAGCACCTATTTCCTCTAAGAAACTACTCAAGGAATTTTATTTATGGTTTAAATATATTGGGTAGGTATTTAGAAAGAGCAAGTAGCCTTACCTTAACTGTTATACATTTCAACTGCTATCAATTTTGATTTCTTCAAAAAGTATTTAAAAGATGATTAGTCTGTTTCCAGACTGTTAACTCATTTATGAGTCCTTATTTTCAGAGTTGGGATTTGCAATTTTATTTTTGTTTCACGTTGATTGTCAGGATGTATAAAGGAATATGGAGGCCCTTTTTACACTGGCATGGAAAGATTTCCAAGATAGATGTATCTATGAAAAAAGGAAGATAACGGAGCAGTGTGTGTGATCACCTGCTTTTCATGTAAGAAGGGCAGAAAAAATAAGAATGGAAGCATATACAAGAAGCTCCTTAAAGTGATCACTTATGTCTAAATATGCTGTGGAAGCTAGAGCTAGAGCATGCATGGTCTTCTGACTACACTGTTTTTATATTGCTTTAGTTTTGGATTAAGTGAGTGATTCGATAGTTTAAAATTAGTTGAATAATAAATGAGTTGCCAGCTCCTTTTTTTGAGAGGAAATTTTATATATATTACCATTGGACTTGGAAATCTGAGTAGAATTTTAATTAAAAAATTTTTTTCTTAAGAAAATATATCTGCTATTTCAAAATATGAATAAATATTAACTTGCTGTTTGGGGGTGTGTAAAGCCCTATCCCATTATCCAGAGAAGTAAAATGAGAAAGTAGGATATTAAAGCTAGCCTGTGTGAAGAGTGTTCAGCTTTAACCCTGGTAGCCTTGGAATTTTTAGTGGGTACTGTTTTGGTGTTTTATTGAATGCATTTGCAATCCTGCTTTGCAGATGTGCACATGGAGAGGAGGCCTGTGGTACCCCTCCTCAGCCCAGAGTCTTTCCACCTCTTGTGGCCTTTGCGTGGTATTGACTTTCCTCCTCCTTTCTCTTCCTAACACTCTTTCACCTATTCTCATGATTTTTCTTTGACTCTTAGACTTCCCCTCAGTTTCCTTTGTAGTTTCTTTTTTCCCCCCTCTGTTTTCAATGTTTCCTAAACTTCTTAGACTTCTTTTTCTGTTGTTTTTTAAGTTCTTTCCCTTTAGTTAATCTTCTGGGAGTTCTCTTCCATGCAGGTGGCTTCAGCTATATTCTGGTGACTCTCACATTTGTATGTTTAGCTTTAAGTTACTTTCTGGAGCTCCAGACTCATATTCACCTGTTCAGTTCAGTAGGAGATTTCCAGGACTGGTCTTATACCCCTCATACAGTGTCTGAAGTTGAATCCATTTTTCCTAGGAGACTCCTTTCCTTCCCTAATCTGTGTAAAAGACCCCATTGTTCACTTGGTTATCTGTACTCACAACCTGAAGCTGTAGTGTCCTGCGTGGTAGCTATTTGATTTAGATTAATTTATTTTGTTTTATTTTTTGAGTCAGAGTCTCACTCAGGCTGAAGTGAGACTCTAACTGAAAAATACTCATGGCCTTTGTAGCCTCGACCTGCTAGGCTCAGGCGATCGTTCTGCCTCAGCCTTCCAAGTAGCTGGAACTACAGGCATGCGCCACCATGCCCAGCTAATTTTTTAAATGATTTATTGTAGAGATGAGGTCTTGCTGGGTTCCCCAGGCTGGTCTTGAACCCTGGGCTCAGGCAATCCTTCACCTCTGCCTCCTAAAGTGCTGGGATTACAGGTGTGAGCCACGATGCCCAGCTTACATTAGTTTAAATACAAGAACAACCTCAGATCCTCAGCCACATGAGCCACATTTCAAGTGCTGAATAGCCACATGTGGCCATTGGCTACCTTATTGGACAGCGAATAGGGCATATCTACCCTCACAGGAGGTTAAGCTGGAGAGTTCTGTCCTGTGGTTTAGGCTGAGATCATATTTTTCCTCAGCCATTCCCCACTGTGATGTGTCAGAGCTCAGAGCTGTATTCTTAAGTCATGTTTTGTCAGACTGAATTGTGGAAAATAGAACCCTAATTATTTCATTCTCTTGCTTGGATCCCCTTTGTTTTTATGAAAATAGTTTACATTCCTTAGGTTATTGATTTGTACAGAATCCTTTTGTTATCAATCATTTGATGATCTCTCTAAGTTTATTTCTGGCTGCAAAATATTTTTGCCTCAGCCATGCTTAATTTCCTGCATTTTCATCGCCTTGTGCTATTTTTAAGCCTCCATGGTGTCTCATGCCTCTCCTTTTGCCTATGCCAGTCTCTGTCCAAAATGCTTCCTCCATACTTTTTTAATGTAGATAGAATGGTGTGTTATTTGGAACTTGGATCTTTTGCTCCATTGATGGATCTAAAAGCTAGGAAACAGAATGTTAATAGTGTTTCAGGGATCAGAGAGGTTGATATTATAATTTGCTTAGTTATATCTAGTGTTATCAGCTTAGTTATAATGAGCTTAGTTATAACTAGTGTTATCAATTACTGTGATTTAGACAATTGTGTGCCCTGGAAATAATGTACTTCCCCTTGTGTTTTCTAAGCACTGTTACATATGCAATAATAGTGAATGTTTTTTAGCTGTTGATTTCCAAGTTCATATCTCAAACTTTAATAATTTGGGATAAAATAATTATGCAAATGACTTCAGTGGAGGAAAAAATACAGATTTGTGTTTCATTGTCTGTGCAGAATTAAATATATATGTTCTTCATGTGTTTGTAAACAAGTTTTCATAATATTTTAGAAAAAAAATATTGAGGGTGTTCCTGGAGAGAGAAATAAGAAAGTTAATTTCTTTGCCTGTAATTTCATGGTTGCTTTGATAAGTGATACTTTCAGTGTAATCAATAGGTTTAATTAACTGATTCATGTTAAAATTTTCATCCTGTTTTGTGGTCAAAACTGGTGAGCTTTTAAACATTTCAACACAGATAATGATTTTATTATTCTGTTTTGAAGTCATGTAGTTTAAAAACTAATTTCCAACAGTTACTCTTAGACACATCAAATTAATAAAGTAGACTTCATTTAGTCAGCTTTAGCAGTGTAATTGTAGTGAGTTTTGAGACTTCTAAGAATTTTCTAAACATTTAATAAATGATAATTGATTCACAGAAAATATGAGTAAACTTGGAAGAAGCTTACACCAAAACTCTTAAGACTCTCCTACTTTTAAAAAGTTTACGTTTAAGAATAATGTTAAGGCCAGTCGCAGTGACTCTGACTCAAAAAAAAAGAAAGAAGAATGTTAAGAAATAGTAAGAGAAGAGATTATTAAAGAGGTCATTTGAGATAATGAATACTGCTTTCCTCCATTTTAATTTAAGCTCTTAATAAGGGAAACTGTATTTTTGATTCTTTTAATCTAATAATTAAAGAAAATCAATTACCAGTGAAAGGGGAACTATTTAAACTGGCTACCGTTGCAGTACTGATATGTTAATTTAACACAACTTTTTGTCTAAAGCTTGTTTTCCATTCTTAGCTCCTAGTTTGTGAAGCTTTAGCTTTCCTCAAGATGAAATATGTCTTAAAATTCTTCTTATCCTTAAAGAAATATGCGGTTTATTTTTAATCTCGCATTATCTAGTGGTGAATTGTTATATATCTATTTTATTTATTTATTTATTTTTTGAGTTGGAGTCTCACTCTGTCGTCCAGACTGGAGTGCAGTGGCCGCTCCCGGCCACCGCAGCCTCGACCTGCTGGACTCTGGCGATCCTTCTGCCTCAGCCTTCCGAGTAGCCGGAATTACAGACGCGCGCTACCACGCCCGGCTAATTTTTTGATTTATTGTAGAGATGAAGTCTTGCCAAGTTGCCCACGTGGGTCTCGAACCCGCAGGCTCAGGCAATCCACTCACCTCAGCCTCCCAAAGGTGCGGGATTCCAGGCTGAGCCACCGAGCCCAGCTATATATCTGTTTTAATCTCGTTTTTTATGGCATTAGAAGTGTCTAAAATCTTTTTTTTTAATGAAAAAATGTATTTCAGGGGAGAAATCACAAATTATTGTATTTGCATGCTAAAAGAGTTAGATGGGTCATTGGGTGTCTTGTTATAGTTCTTTTATTTTGACACCTTTACTTAGATAAAAAGTTTCAGAGGCTGTCTTGCCGTTGTAGCCTTGACTGCCTCATGTGTGATCCAGTATCTTCCATGGCCTGCATTTATGACCTGGGCTGAAATTGTTGCTCTTTCCTAGTTAACTCATGGGTTGATAAAGCTTATTGGATAAATTTTAATCCATCCCAGTATATGGAAAAAGAATATGCCACTCCTTTACCTTTTAGATGTAGAGCCCCAAACTAAATAGCCTTCATATTTATTTTGTAAAGTTTAATAATTTGTTTTATCATTGCCTATTGAATGATAAATAATTTCAGAGTTAGCTTTAAATATATCTTTAGAGATGTATAGCCATTAAAATAATATTTTGAAAATGCGTACATATTCACATGAAAAGGTGTTAATTATTCTAATCTTAGTGGAAAACTTCCTTGTAAGAGAATGTGTAGAAAAAATCGATTTTTGTTTTTACATATCCACACAAAGTATCTGAATGGATTTATAGCAAGGTAGTCACTGATTATTTCTGGGTAAATGAGAAGAAATGTTACTAGTGTTCTTTAGCCTTGTTTAGTTTTTGTTTGTTTTTAGAAAAGAAAGAAAGAAATACACCTGTTGAAAGCATGTATAATTGGCCGGGCGCAGTGGCTCAAGCCTTTAATCCCAGTACTTTGGGAGGCTGAGGTGAGAGAATTGCCTAAGCCCGCAGGTTCGAGACCAGCTTGGAAAACATGGTGAGACTTCATCTCTACAATAAGTCAAAAAATCAGCCAGTTGTGATAGCATGCGCCTGTAGTTCCTGCTATTTGGAAGGCTGAGGCGGAAGGATCCCCAGAGCCCAGCAGGTTGATGCTGGGATAGCTGTGAGCGACTGCAGTCTAGCCTGGGCGATGGAGTGAGACTCCAACTCAGAAAAGAAAATATGTACAATTATACTAGATAATATATTGTTTTTAAAAAGAAGTCAATTTCTCCATTGAGGAGAAATAAAACAGGCAAATATTACCTTCTGGAAATTTTTCATGTTGAAAGTTCATTTTTTTTTCATGGCTCTTTTTCTTATTCTATTTTTTTATGTGGCTATTTGGGTATTCTTCTCAGCAAATAAAATTCCACAAAGGCACGGAAAAGTTGTAATGCTTTATATATTAGGCATATAGTAAGCATTTTAAATATCTCAGAGATGGATGTATTACTATTTTCTAATACAGCTCTAGTTTTCAACATTATAGGTTTTTTTGAAGTGAATCGAAAATGGAAATTCTCTTGGACACTACGTACAGGGAGACGGCATACTTAATAACATGGCTTTATTGGCCTCTTTTAACTTATGTGTTATTACCATGTTTTCAATATTCCAATACAATTTTTACAAAATTTATTCATCTAATTAGAGACTCACTGAATTGCTTTTCAGTGGAATTAATATAGTGTTGTCATGGCAGGTACTTGTGACAGACGTAACACACACTTTTATGAGGGGAAAGACCTTAGAGCGATGTAGCCCCATCCCTTCATTTTCTGATGTGAGCAGATTACTTTTAGCCTACAGGACTTTTGCAAGGTAGTTGGGCGAAATAATCCACTAGATGCTCTCTACCCTAAGATTTCATGTTTCTAAGTGAATTTCACATACTCGTTCATGCTTTTACTGTTTTTCACTGATTGTGCCCTTTGTGTGATCTTAGTGGCATCTTAAAATGTCCCACACTAAAATAAGAATGGGATAAATTGTTTTAAACCAGTACTCCATAATTGCTGATGTGGTGCAGTGCATCCTAAACTTTGGATTGAATGCAAGAAATTACTCAGCCAATCAACTTTAGAGATTTTTTTTTATTGAAAAGTGCCTTCTTTATCTGACCCCTATTATTTCTCTTTTACTGTGGTCATTTAAATTAACAATACTTCTTGCAAAATTTAGTCTATTAAAATATTTTATGTTATAGCAAGTACAGTTCAGTAAAAACAGTAATTGTGGGTACATGGGTACACACCACATAGAATTTTTATCTAACTTTTGCTAAGATTATTTCTCATGGAAGGAACTAGGAACAGTCTAAAAGAGACCACTGAGGCCAGTCATCTGGTCATCTGAGTAGATGAAAGAGACTTCTGTGACTTGGAGCTGTGCTGTGCCAAAGCCAGCATTGACTTTGGGGGCTTCATGGCTTATGTGCAACATACAGCAAGAACCAGACATGATCTCTAGGGCCTCTGCCAACTTGAAACCCCAGTGACTGCTGAAACTCGACGTCCCACAGAAAGGACATGAGACTAGATGTGTGAATATTTAAAAGTACAGAATCTGCTCTTGTAACATTTTTCTGTGTTCATTCCATGATCATTCCTTTTACATCTCTGATTTCTCAGTGAAAACATTTATATTTTTTAGTTGTGCATACTAAACCTTCTTTGTTTTTGTTGTTCTGCTTTCTTGTTCTTTTAGAATACTTCTAGTAAGATAACATTCCTTTCTTAAAACCATGTTTTCCTACCGTCTTAAGTCTTTTTGTTGTTGTTGTTGTTGTTGTTTTTGATTTGGAGTCTCACCCTGTTGCCCGCCCGGGCTGGAGTGCAGTGGCATGCTCATGGCCACCCCAGCATCGACCTGCTGGACTCTGGCGATTCTTCCACCTTAGCCTTCCAAGTAGCTGGAACTACCAGCACTTGCTACCACACCTGGCTAATTTTTTTTTATTGTAGAGACAAGGTCTCACCAAGTTGCCGGGCTGGTCTCAAACCTGCAGGCTCAGGCAGACCACTCGCCTTGGCCTTCCAAAGTGCTGGGATTACAGGCTGAGCCACCAAGCCTGGAAAGTTTTTTTTTTTTAAACTTTTAATTCAGTCTCACATATATTGGAGTTTTGATTTTTGACTCCTGCACTTTTAGAAAATATTTATGTAGCCCAGCATGGTGGCACACACCTATGGTCTTAGCTACTTTGGGAGCTGTGGCAGGAGAATCATTTGAGCCTAGAGTTTAAGATCATCCTGGGCAACAATAGAGTGAAATCTTATGTCTTTAAAAAAAAAGTTTATTCTGTTTTTTCCCTGGTTATATCAGTGTGACACAAATGTATTCTATCTCAAAAATACAGGCTTTAGCATAGAGCTAAGTTAGAATTAAGTTCACCCATTCTTCACAGTATTCTTTAGTCTTTTTGATCAATTTGATATAGAATAAGAGTTTTTAAAAGCCTTTAAAATATATTTTTTAGATTTAAGTTATGTTTGAGATGTTAGCAAACACTTAATGTTTGTTTTCAAGAAAAGCAGCTTACAGTCAGTCACTAAAACCTTCTGGGAAATATTAAATATCTATTATTAGTAGAAATAATGTTAGTAATATACGATGTTGTCATATTAATGTGATACATAGTCAGGAGAGAAGCAGCGTCAACTTGTGCGTGAAAACAGCCTTTGCCTTTATCTTTTTAAGTAGGTCACACAGCCACATCAGAGGCTTTCCTAGGTCTGTAACAGTCAGCACAGAGTGACGACCTCCAGGAGCAGGGTCTATGAACTTGTCTCGGTGTCCTCCTCAAGTGACCTGTTGTCAGAGGCAGCTTTTTGCAGTGTTAGTGTAGATTTTCTAAGTTGCACATTTATCTACAGTGTATGGCTTTTTTTTTTTTTTTTAAGAAATGTATTGAATGAATATTTGCTTACTGTTCCTTATTTTTCCTCATTTCTTTTCAGGCTTCTCTACAGTTTAGCCTTTAATGCCAGGTTTCTGAGACATCTTTGGTTTCTAATATCTTCTATGACAACGCGGATGATCACAGGGTATGTGTTACACAGGCTTATAAATTGAGCTCAAGGGCATGGAAAGTGGCCGCCTAATCAGAAATGTCAGAACATGTTTGTGAGTCCTGATTACACTACACTTATTTATTTATTTATTTATTTTAGTTGGAGTCTCACTCTGTCACCCAGACTGGAGTGCAGTGGCTGCTCCCGGCCACCGCAGCCTCGACCTGCTGGGCTCTGGCGATCCTTCCGCCTCAGCCTTCCAAGGAGCTGGAACTACAGGCGTGTGCTACCACACGCCAAGCTGCCCGGGCGGGTCCCGAACCCGTGGGCTCAGGCAATCCTCTCACCTCAGCTTCCCAAAGCGCTGGGATTACAGGCTGAGCCACCGAGCCCGACTCACTTATTTCATAATAGAAGAAAAAAAATTCTAGATGGTCTTAATTTCACAAAAAGGAAAATTAGTGCCTAATCTTAGTTATTTATCTCTATAAATTATTAAGAATATGCCTTGGTCGAGCACAGTGGCTCGTGCCTGCAATCCCAGTACTTTGGAAGACCAAGGCAGGAGAATCACTTGAGGCTAGGAGTTTAAAACCACTCTGAGCAACATAGCAAGACCCAGTCTCTTAAAAAATAAAAAAAAAAAATAGCTGACCTGATAGTGCACTTATAGTCCCAGCTGCTTCATAGGCTGAGATGGATCCTTTGAGCCCGGGAGTTCAAGGCTGCACTGAACAATGATTGTGCCACTGCACTCTATCCTGAGTGACAGAGCAAGACCCTGTCTCTTAAAAAAAAAAAAAAGAAAAAGAAAAAAAAAAGCGTTTCTTTATCTGAAAATAAATTTGTTTTTTAAATCCTAGTTGTTTTTTTTTTTTTTGACCAGACACTTGGAAATTTTGCTCTGTATGACTTTAATATTTTTTGACAGTGAAAATATCTATTTGAAGCAAACTTAACATCACTACAAACATTAAAACAATGTAGAAATTGATTTTTAAAGCTTTTGTTGAAATTTGTTTTTCTATAGGATTATTATGCCACTGAATGCTGGTGTATTTAATATGCATAATTTAATGGAATGTGTAAGAAGTAGAAATTTTGTATTTAAAATCCTTCTTTGTAAACTGACTAGCCCATTACCGTGTTATTGAATTTCTCCTTAAGTCTAAGCCAATCCCTGTGTGTTGTGATATGAAAAGATGAAGTGTGTAACTCAGTTCATTGAAGACTAAACTTTGCAGTGGCCCCCAAATCACCTGCATCTCAATTACTTGATTATACTAATAATAACAGTAGTTACCATTACTGGCTGCATACTAAGAACTAGCTCATTCTACAAAGGAAGGCACGTCTCAGTTGTGGAGCAAAAGTTTTTACGGAAGAGGTGGAGTTTTTTCCTTTTAGGAATGAAAAGTTAGATAAAATAATTTTCGGTGGGTGGGAGTGAGTTGCCCTAAATTTAATATGCGCTCATCTGCAGCCAGGTTTGCACTGTACCAGGTAAGGTGGTGCTGGAAAACCTTATGTTGAGATTTCTGGATTTTGAACTTTTTAGGGCAGTATGTAGTGAAAAAGATATTTATATTTTAATGCCTTTTAATCAGTCACAGTCAGTCCTTTTCTGAAAGAACCTGGTGGTCGAATCATCTGTATAAAATCATTCTTACCAATGAATGAGGAATGTGGATTTATGACTAGCATTACTTTGAATTACTTTTATGTGTTTATGGGGGGTTTTGTTTCTTTTGAGTTGAGGTCTCACTCTGTTGCCCAGGCTGGAGTGCAGTAGCAAGATCACCACTCACCACAGCCTCAGCTTTCTGGCTACGACAATCCTTCTGCCTCAGCCTCCCCAGTAACTGGGACTACAGGTGCATACCACTATACCCAAATAAATAAAATTTTTTTATTTTTTGTTGAGATGAGGTCTTGTCAAGTTGCCCAGGCTGATCTCAAACTCCTGAGCTCTAGCAGTCCTCCCCCTTGACCTCCCAAAGTGCTAGGATTACAGGCATGAGCCACCTCGCCTGTCCACTTTCATGTTTTTACATTTAATGTTAGTGAATCTTAAGTGAGTAAAGAGTTTTTGTTTGTATATTTATTCTTTTTTTTTTTTTTGAGTTGGAGTCTCACTCTGTGGCCCAGACTGGAGTGCAGTGACTGTTCCCGGCCACCGCAGCCTCGACCTGCTGGGCTCCGGCGATCCTTCCGCCTCAGCCTTCCAAGTAGCCGGAACTACAGGCATGCGCTACCACACCCGGCTGATTTTTTTAAATTAATTGTAGAGATGAGGTCTCACTTCCCAGGTGGGTCTCGAACCCACGGGCTCAGGCAATCCACTCACCTCAGCCTCCCAAAGGCGCGGGATTACAGGCTGAGCCACCGAGCCCGGCGAGTAAAGAATTTTTAACGACGCCACTGGAGCTTGTGAAATTCATAAAGGTTAAGTGATTTATCTTGCATCACTAGTGAGTGGCAGAAGCCAAGATGAGAGATTCCTAGAATAACTTAATGTGTGGAAAAGTTATTTTCTATCCTTTATTTCCAGTCTAAAATATAAGATTTTAGGTGTGTTTTGCTTTGTTGTGGTTTTTGGAGCATTTCAGCCACTTCTGACTATGCCAGCCTTGGCTTTAATGAATGACAAGTTTGTTTAGGGCAAAAGGAGATTGGAGATCATTAGGACAGGAAATTATCATTTATCTGTTATAAGTGTCCCAGCTTAGCAACAGAGATACTGTCATAGTTCTGCCTGATAGTTGCTTATTTGTTTATGGCAGTTGTCTCTTGGTGAGGAAATGAAGTCATTATGTGCAAAAGAAAAATAGGATATTGTTGATTATATTAAATTGTTAATATTATTATGTAAGTTGGTAAAATTATGCAAGTTTTAAAAACTCACTTCTTAAATGGCAATTTGAGAATTTGAATTCCTTTTACTTTTTCAGTTTATTAAAATAAAGTCCCTTAGGAAACTGACCATATATGAACACATTCCCAGTACATATGCTCCTCAGCTTACAGTGAGGCTATATGATAAACCCATCAAATATCATAAGTTGAAAATGCACTCAGTATACCCAATCTAGCCTAAAATGTGCTCAGAACACTTACATTAGCATACAGCTGGGAAAATTATCAAACACTAGGCCTATTTTATAATAAAGTCTTGAATACCTTATGTAATTTATTGAATATTGTGCTGAAAGTGAAAAAAGCAGAATGGTGGCATGGGCACTCAGAGCATGGTTTCTGCTGAATGTTTATTGCCTTTACACCATCATAAAGTTGAAAGATTCTAAGGGGAGCCATAGTAAGTCAGGGATGGGCTCTATGTATATCATTGTGTTTATTATTGGAAATAAAATTTAAAATAAAATGACCGATTTTCTGAAAATGGCATTCAATTTAATTTGAAAATAGTTAAACAGCAAGACTTGCGTAACGAGGACTTTCAGTTTTCGTGGGCAGATCATCAGGTTTGTTGCAAAGCAAATTTCTTGGTCCTGCCATTGAGTCTTGGGTAGAAACTTGAGGAGCCTGTGATCTTACAGGCTTATCAAGTAATTGAGATGTAGGTGGTCTGGGGGCTGCTGAGAAGCATAGTGTTCCCCACCCCAGTCAAGCAGGCCTGCATTCAGACTATCTCCAGGTGGATGTAAGCAGTTGTTTTGGTACATCAAACATTTTGCAAATAACCATTCTATTCATGTACATCACTTCCAGTATGTACTGTTGATATCAGCCAGTTTGGTTTCCTCCTTGTAGAAAATGAAGAAACCAATAGCCAACTGGTCACCATTTTCCATTAGGTAGCCCTTGACAAAGACATCATATAGGGGTGCTTGGCGTGGCAGTGGGTGCCAGTGTTGATTGTTTGATCATTCTCAAAGTAGTCTGCAGTAATATTTTGAAAACTTTTTTAGGCAAGAGTCCACTCTTATATGTAGAAAACGAGAAGCTTTAAGTTGTGGGGGTGTGGCAGGAGTGGTTTCCATACACACAACATGAAAACCCTTGTTCTGAGGATATTCAGAGAAGTTAGGGATTTGCCTTAGGGCTCATGGATGGTCAGTAATTCACCCAACTCCCCTGAGTTATAAATCATTGTATTTTTCATTAAACTATGGACTTTTTATTTGCTCATAAGTCTGAGATTATCCTGTTTTCAGAGAATATTTAAGTCAGTGTTTACAGAAGAAAAAATATTCAGCAGAGAACCAGAAGATTTGTGTCCTGGCTGCAGGGGATCTCTGGCTCATTTCTAACCCTTCTTACCAAGCCCTATTTCTGTCATTAAAGTAAAAATGATGAATTCCTTTTGCTTATTTCACAGGGATTTAAAGACAACAAACGAATAACTGTTGGTTAGTGGCCCTGTTTTTAGAGAGCTAATACAAGGGCTTTATGTGTCCTGGCATATATGTACATAACTGATGAGATGATGATGATGGTGATGGTGATGATGATTTTTAAGTACACGGATTATTGACAGGGATAACAACTGACAGCTGGTTTATCACTATCTTAGAATAAGAAAATACTTTGTCTACATTGTACTGGTTAGCACTACCTATATTTTGATCCCCCAAATACAATGTGTTCTTCATATTATCTGTTATTTTTGTAGTTCTGCAAGGGAACTAAAAGTTACCAACCATTTATTTTTACTAATATCAACGAAGTATATGACATTAATTTTTTTTGTATGTCAGCACAATTTTTACTGAGTACCACTGTGTGGATGGCCCAATACAAGGTGTGGTGCACAGTGACTCGGGAATACAGGGTCTGACAATTAAGTTCACGAACTCTTCCTAGAAAAAGTGCTGCATACCTCACTGCTGAATATCACTATGGTCACCTTCAAAGTACTCCCCCTGGGAAGCTATGCACCAGTCAATGCCAGTGCCTAATCAACTCGTCAGAACAGTTTTGGAACTCTTTTTCTGGAATGGCTGTCAGAGCTGTCGTCACAAGACTGTCAGAGTTTGAATTAGAGCAATGAGCAAACATTGAATTCATTGTTAAACTTGGCAAGAGTGGAAGTAAAATTAGGGCCATGTTAGTCCAAGTTTATGGGGATAATGCCATGAAGAAAATGACAGTGTAAAAATGGATTAAGACATTTTTCTGAGAGGAGAAAACATCACTGATGAAGAGGGGTCAGAACAGCCAGTAATAAGCAGAATTGATGAAAACATTACAAAAATTCATTGAATTATGCATCAGAATTATCAACTGACTATGAGAAGCATAGCAGACCAAATAAACATTGATAGAGAAACAGGAAAATCTAAACTAAAAATCTTGGCATGAGAAAGGCGTGTGCAAAAATGGTTTCATAGCAGCTCTTGCATCACGACAACGTATGAACTCGCATGACACTGTCTGAGGGAGTTTTTAGCCAGTAAACAAATACCTGTATTGGAACACCCTGTCTACTCACCTGATCTGGCCTCCAGTGAGTTTTTTCTTTACCCTAAGATAAAAGAAATATTGAAATGAAGACTTTTTTAAAAACTTGAAAGAAAAAATATATTGAAGATCTGAAAAACAATTCCTAAAAGATTGACTTTTCCAGAAAACTAGCTGCATGATGCATTGTTTCTATTATGTTAAAATGTGCATTAGTCACAAATACAAAAACCATGAAACAAGCCACTGTTCAACAATTTGAGCAAAGATAAAATGTCTAAGAACAACATGGGTGACTTGCAAGGGGTGGGCTCTTTACTTTAAGCACCATTTTTAAAAAAATGAATGAGTGTGTTCAGTTATATGTACACTGAATTGAACCTTTGGCACTAGGAATCAGAGCGTTTTGTCATATAGCATTAACACATATTATAAAAGTGTGTAGTGTCAAAGGAATAAAACCACCAGCATTCAAAAAAAGCTTTGTCAACTAGGCCATAAAGCACTCCACAGCATGTCACTCTGTTGTCCATCATTGAATACATGGTAGCAACTTTGAAATGAAAAAAAAAGTAAGAAGAGGAAAAAAGGAACCGGGCTCGGTGGCTCAGCCTATAATCCTGTGCTTTGAGAGGCCGAGGTGAGTGGATTGCCTGAGCCCGCGAGTTTGAGACCCGCTTGGGCATCTTGGCGAGACCTCATCTCTACAATACATTTTTAAAAAATTAGCTGGGCATGGTAGCACACGCCTGTAGTTCCAGCTACTTGGAAGGCTGAGGTGGAAGAATTGCTGGAGCCCAGCAGGTCGAGGCTGCAGTGGCTGAGAGGGTGCCACTGTACTCCAGTCTGGGTGACAGAGTGAGACTCCAATTCAAAAATAATAAAATAAAAAGAGAGAAAGAACAAGTTCTAGGTGAGAGAAGTACATTGAACAGATTATAGCTCTTGATGGGTGAAAGAGACTAAGCAGTTCTCTAAAGACCACTTCACAGTAGAGCTGCTCAAGGGGTCACTTAATTTACAGTTAAAGCAGGCTCAGGGCTGGGAGATGGTGAATGAACGGGACTATGGAAACAAGGTTGAGTGTAGAAAGGGGGAAGCTTTATTCCTGAAGGTTCTGATTTGGCTTCAGTACCAAACTGTTTTCAGTGTTCTAAAAATAAGTCATGAAGTAAATTTTTTCTGAGACCAGAATGATTTGCCCTTCTTAAATATGTTGATTAAAGGGAAAGGGATGGTTTTCCTCATTAAAGTATAGTGTGTGTCTTTAAAAGTGGTCTTAATGAAACCCTTTTTAGGGCCTCAACTTTGGGATCACCTGGCTCCCTCTTAGTAACTTAATTAACTAGCTGATAAAAGTAGCAGACTCAGCCAGGCTCTCGGCCGGGCTTGGTGGCTCAGCCTGTAATCCCAGCACTTTGGGAGGCTGAGGCGAGTGGATTGCCTGGACCCATGGGTTTGAGATCAGCCTGGGCAACTTGACAAGATCTTGTCTCTACAATGAATCAAAAAAATTAGCCGGGCGTGGTACCGAGCGCCTATAGTTCCAGCTACTTAGAAGGCTGGGGTGGAAGGATCGCCAGAGCCTAGTAAGTCGATGCTGGGGTAACCGTGAGTGTGCCACTGCACTCCAGCCTGGGCGACGGAGTAAGACTCCAAATCAAAAAAAAAAAAATAGGAGACCCATTAGTGAATAGTGTGGGCTGAGGTATTCTTTAAGTTGTTTAAATGGTAATGTAAATGCTATTTTCCCTTATTATCTTTGTCTGATGTCATGTCTTAATTAGTTCCCAAATTAAACTAGTCTTAAATAACTTTTTTTTCTTCTCCCTTTCTCCAATTCAAGGTCTATGGTACCGTTGCTTCAGGTGATATCAAGGGGTTCTCCTATGTCTTTTGAAGATTCTAGTCGAATCATCCCACTCTTTTACCTTTTTAGCTCCTTGTTTAGTCATTCACTGATTTCCATACATGATAATGAATTCTTCGGTGATCCCATAGAAGGTAAGTATTTTGAGAATTCAGTTTGCTGCTGGCCACATGGCCTATTAATTTTCATAGACAGTAGAAAGATGTTAAGCCTTTTGTGTGTTAGGAGATGGGGGGAAAAATGATAGAAATTTGGCTTATGTTTTTCAGTTGTAGGTCAAAGACAATCATCAATGATGCCTTTTACTTTAGAAGAGCTGATCATGTTGTCTCGATGTCTGCGAGATGCATGCTTGGGAATCATCAAGTTGGCTTATCCAGAAACAAAACCAGAAGTTAGAGAAGAATATATTCTAGCATTTCAAAGTATTGGAGTTACTACTAATTCTGAAATGCAACAATGTATACAGATGGAACAGAAACGATGGATTCAGTTATTTAAGGTATAGAGTATATGTACTTTTTTGTTTACTCAAATAATGTATAAATCTGGTTAAATAATATACAAATTTGTCTTGTCTCAACTCATTGCAGAAGAATAGAGATACAGGTTTGTTTAAGGCATAAATTTTAATTTGTAAAATTTTTTAATGAAGAAAATAATTTTAATTTACATTTGCCCCATTTTAAAATTTTATTTTACATTGTTATGCATCCTTTGTAAGTTTCTATTAGTACTTACTGTGGCCAGGTGAAGGGTACTTTTTTATGTTTTTATTTTTCTTGTCACTCAAAAATTTCTTAATTTATTATTTTTTCAAATTTTTTGAAAATTGATTAACAAGGCGAAATAGGTTGTTAATTTTTAATGCAAGTTGTATATAAATTATTTTAAAATATTTTCATTTTTAACCATGCAGAAAGAGAAATTATGAGTTACTGTAGCTGGAATGTTGGCAGGAAACCACTGGCACTGAGAATATAACTGTAAGGGTGGGGAAAAAAGAAAAGGAAAAGGGGCTTGACTTCCCATGAAATTTCTGCAGCAAACACATCTAGTCAGCTAAAATTGCTCATTAAAGGAGTGAGAGCAGAAGAAATGCATTTCCCAAATTGAATGCTAGATTTACAGTCCGTTTAATACCAACGACCTCTCGCGCACTAATGTTCAGTTCGAGTCATCAGCTGTCCCTTTGGGTCTTTTATCACTGCTTTTGTCAAGCTATCTATTTAATTGAAAGAAGTTAATTGAATGAAAATGATCAACTAAGCTTGTATTAATATTGCTAATGGAACTTTCTTCTTGGCCATGTTTGGAGAAAGATGTCAAGCTAGACTTTAGGAAGGGCCCATTAATGCTTGCACTTAACCTGATGGGCTAATTAAGGAATGCTTATTCATCCTACAAGTCCACGAGAGTCTCTATCCAGCCCATTCTGCCTGATTTTACAACACATTTCACTTATGAGCATGAGCATTAGTAGCAGTGAGAGTAACTGATAATGTTTTGATTGCACTGAATACAGTACTAATGCATCATTGAATTTATAATTTGGGAACATTGATGTAATATATGTTTGCACAATTTATTTTAATTACCTATCTCTATATTCCTAAGTAAACTTTAAAGGTCACATGTGAAGCCCTTAATATATCCTTTCTTCAAGATTAAGAACTGTGCAACTTTTCTAGGTGAAAAATAAGCTAACTACCTATTTAAAACTTATAATTCTTAAGTAAACTTTTCTTGTATATGGGTATTATAGTAGCATATGTGTTTTCATTTTGGTATTTAATTAAACACTAGGATCTTTGTTAATAAAAAGCTTTCTGTTATGTAAGATATCAGGTTTTGTGGACAGTCTTTGATAATTACATTGTTTTATAGCACCTATTGAGAGTTTCATAATTTTCATATGACAGGTTTATCTTTAGGATATAGAAATCTCTGCATTTAATAATGCTGTATAAGATATTTTCCACACTGGCCCTATTTTGTTTTGCTTAAGCATAAGTGAAAATTTTATAGTGAATTTTTTTCTTCATACCTCAGAATGATTCTTTGCCACTTTATTAATTATTGAATGTTTTAAGGATTAGTGAGAGTTCATCTTTTTTTGGTATGTAATTATTTTAGATTTGAAATTGAGTTGTTACAAAGGCCTTTTGAATGTAGAATAGAATTGTCTGAAGACAGTTTTTGGACAGGACTTCTGTTCTTTGCCCCCCCCACCCCAAAATCATTTTATATACCTGTTTTTGAGCTGAGCCCTAAAAATAATAAAAATCAAAGCATTATCTTTGAGTAGTTATTTGCTATGTTTTCCTTTTTAAAAAGGTCTTTATTTTGAAATAGTAAGAACTTATACCTCAGGGATTATTATGTTTTAGACGGTATTCTAAGAGTTTGGCATATTAATTCATTTAATACAATAATTCTGTGAGAAAGAGAATATAATTATCCCTATTGTACAGATGAGACTACATAGCTAATAGTTGGTAGAGCCAACTGCTCCTCTACAGTCCCACTCTGAAAAGTAATAAAACTTGATCAGCATTTAAAATATATTACTGTGCCAAATGTAAGTTGAAGAATTCAAAGTAAAATCAACCAAAAGAGGTAAAAGCATTTTGCCAATGATCTTCCCAAACCTTCTGTTTATTTTGACCGAATTGCTAATATGAGAACTAACTCCTCCAGCACTGACCGTTTTCATTTTTCAGTTAATGATGGTCCTCCCAAACTAATTTGTGTGAGAGGCTCTGTTGGCTGGTCACAAAACAGAATTTTAAGTGGATAGAGTCATCTTTCTTTGTCACTATAAGAATTGGGGTCAGTTTCTAAGCCCCGTATTGACACTGCTAAAACAGTTTATGCATTTATCAAATTTATAAACTCCTCTTAAAGTGTAATTTATAGTTATAATTGCTTTAACTCTATGATGAGATAGGAAATCCTGTTTAGATATGTCTTTTTGTGCGACTGCCAAACTTAAAGAAGTTACCTCAAAGGATGATGTAGTAGAGAAATGAGAAGGAAAACTCTCACACCTTCCTTATTTGTATATCCATACATAGAGAGAGGTGTATAGTATGAGTGATTTTCACTTCCTTGGTGGTTAATTTGTGTGTTTCAGTTTCCAAAAAATTTTTTTTTAACTAAAAAATTAAAACAACAGCAATGCCCTAACTATAACCCTACCATGCCGCCACTGACCATCAGTGTTAGCCATGAGATCCAAAGCAATGTGCCCACCCTTGTTCTTGTGGCGCTGAGCCATATTCTTTTCTATCTTTGAAGGCTGATCTTTGTTTTTTGACTACTAGTCAAAATGAATAGTTTGTGAAGTAATGTTGTAGTGTTGTAATCACGTGCTAGAGAATACTATTATCTTTTAAAATATGCCAGTTTTTAACAAGTGACAACTAAGGGGCTGTATGAAACTTGATTAACCATTAACAGCATCTGTCCTTACCAGGTATTTCAGGACTTTCATAGGTTAGGACATTGTTAATTCTCAATTATTTAAACACTCACAATATTTATCCCATGCATGTTGACTCTGCCCTGTACAAAGGATCATAGTGAAATTCAGTCTGGGTACCCTAAGCATTCAACTAATTACACTGAGTAAAAACAAACCTAGGAGGTCAGTACTATTGAAGCATGGAGGATGGAAACACCAACTGCTGACTTCATTTTCTACTTTTGATTCACTTTAGGAAAATAGTCATTTTCCTGTGAGATGATAATCTTAGAACTGGTACATCACCAGTTTTTCTACGATTTCTTTTTTCTTTTCTTTTCTTTTTTTTTTTTTGGAGATAAGAGTCTTACTCTGTCTTCCAGGTTGGAGTACAGTGTTGGGCTTATAGCTCACTGTAGCCTAGACCCCTAGGTCTAAGCAATCTTCCTGCTTTGGCCTCCCAAAGTGCTGAGATTACAGGAGTGAACCACTGTGCCTACCCTGATATATTCTCACTTGGTATGTTTACCATATTACATATTTACCACAGTTAAGTACCTGTAAATAGTGGACTAAGCATGCTTTTTTTTTTTAATTGAGCTTTTCAAAAAATTTACTAAGCTATTTGGTTTTACTTATCAGATTTAAGATAAAAATATACTCATTTTATATCATAATGTAATTTAGTCTCCTAATTGCATTTCAAAATTTGGACTGTATGTACTTTTTTTTTGGTTGCAATACTGTATATAAATATAAATCATCTCCGTTCAGAAATATCATAATTTGACATTAATAGTCTTAGGTCAGCTATTTATATGTAAATTTATTATTATTATTGATATTATTTTGTATTAGGATATGTGTAACACAGTAACCCCAAATTTGAGAGGACTTGGCGCTTGATTCCAAGTAAGTCACCTGGAAGCAGAGCAGGGAAAGACAGTGGTTTATTAAAACTCAGGTAGGCTCCAATGGTGGCACGTTAGTGAAGAATCCACATCTCAAAGCAGTATAGCTTCAGTTTTATTTTATAATCAAAGCAGTCAAGCCAAGCACTCAGATTCCTATACGGTGTGTATAATTACATTGATTAACCGTGACACCTGTGACAACTGCACTATTTTTCAGTTTTGCTTGGTCACTTTCATCCCATGACTCATTACTGAGAATATGCATACCCTTCAGAGACCAGCCTTCACCAAAGGCCACACCCTACGGGAGGGGACAGGAACAAGCTGGGTATAGGGGGAAATAGTCACTGTCTGGACAATACCCCACATATGATAATATAGGTAATGCTTAAGAATTTTCCCCAAGGTCAATTAAGCATGATATTTTTATCAGTGAACTCTCAAGCATATAATGTTGTTTTGAAAACAGTGCCTGTTAATTTATAATCTTTAACTTGGACAGTTGTCAGGTATGATTTTTATAAGAAATTTGTATGTTCCTAAGCAGTTGTCTGCTTCATCTTTTTAATATTGGTATTAAGGGAAACCTGCTTATAAGTATCACCTGTTTTTAATTTAAATAGTACTTAATAGAGCATGTGTAACAATTGTGTGCATTTCTAAGTATTTACTTAAATAAATTTATTAGTTTCTGAGCATTTATTTAATCTTAACTTTTGACTTAGCATGGAAAAATATGAGACAAGACTTAACACATCAAATGCATATAATCCTTTTGTATATAACTAAAATCTACTAAAACTGTATATTGAGGTAGGTACAGCTAGTTGTTCTAATGTTTGCTTGTTTATTTTACTTCATGTAACTTACCACTCTGGTTCTCAAATCATAACTGCATATCAGAGTCACCTGGGGCGTAATTGAAAACAACTGTTGACTAGCTTCACCTCTGACAGATTGACATTTGAGATTGTACGGTCTTGCTTAGCCAGTGGATACATTTGGGAGTCACGTTGTCCAAATTTTAATTTTTCCTATGATTATCCAAATTATATTTTATTTAATTGGAGATAGCTTGTAAACAAGCCTGGCTAACTTTCTCAGAAAATACAACATCATAGTCTAGAACTCCATAGTAGTTGTGTGTTCGAATCCTGGTTGTAAAGGTTTAAAACTTTGGATTTATAATTTTGTCTTATCACTGTTTATGACAAAATACATTTCTATTCATATAGAACTTCAGGTCTTTTTTTTTTTTTTTGAGTTGGAGTCTCACTCTGTCACCTAGGCTGGAGGGTAGTAGCGTGCTCCCAGCCACCACAGCCTCAACCAACTGGGCTCAGGCAATCCTTCCGCCTCAGCCTTCCAAGTAGCTGGAACTACAGGCACGCACCACCACTCCTGGCTGATTTTTTTGATTTATTGTAGAGATGAGGTTTCACCAAGTTGCCTGGGCTCGTCTCAAACCCACAGGCTCAGGCAATCCTCCCAAAGTGCTGGGATGACAGGCGTGAGCCATCGCGCCAGGCCTCAGGTCTTTTTAAAATAGTGCTATTAGATCCTTTGAATTATATATTATAAAATTTACAAATAATTATTGATCACAGGTCAGTCCTTGAGTACCTACTGTGTTCCCAGGTAGTTAGTTGGATTCTGTTCATAAGGAGCTTACTGCACAACCTGAGAGGAACTGCTGCTCATTTGAGAAATAGTGATGATGATAATAATAATAATAAAAGACTTAGACTATGATAATACAGTAGAAGTATGTGTGGGCTGGACCATTTTGGGGAAGCTTATCAAAGAGATAAGACTAGAATTTTTTAGAGTTACAGCAGGAAAGAAGCCTAACTCCTAACTCCAGAAGCTTATGTAAGGGACATACTGAAATTGGTTTTTCTTTTTAGAAGACATGATAATGATATCTAGGATACTTCTATTTTCCTCTGTTGCCCTTGGTAGTGTTTCTCAGAAAAAGAAGCAGCACTATTTATCTTAGAGAAAACTTTTACAAAATTGCACTCTTTGGAGATGTCTTTCATTATAGCTCAGATGAGCTAAGATATTTCCAAATTTGGTTCAAAGCTTAATCACCATCTCCCTTGTAATTATTGAAAATTATTGAGTACACATATTTGTGTTAATTGCTGTATATGCTGTTGGCATATAACTACTTTGTAAGTATTTTTGTGATAGAAGAAAGAAACCTTTTCTGTAAACTGATTTGGTGGACTGTGGCCAGATGTAGGTTCCTGCACCTGTTGCCAGGAACCTACTCCTCTGATTAGGGGTGATGCTTGCTCTGTGCAGTTGTGGTTACTGAGCTTATTTGTATGACATAGATCTGTTCTTTCCCTTCAGGTCATCACCAATCTAGTGAAAATGTTGAAGTCCAGAGACACAAGGAGAAATTTTTGTCCTCCAAACCACTGGCTATCAGAACAAGAAGATATTAAAGCAGATAAGGTATTACCAAAATATTTTTAAAATATTTTTTGTTAAACTGTTCAGCTTTTGTCTTCTGAGGAGAATAAGTTCCTTAAAAGTGTATGTTTTGTTACTTATTTTGAACTAAATATTAATGATAATAAACCTTTTTACTAACTCTTAGGTCATAGAATGGGACATATAGCAGCAATATCTTTGACTTAAACGTGTATTCTGAGCTTGTTGCTAATCCTTATTTTTCCTTTGTAACTTCATTGTATTGAAACCTAATGATTCTTTGTCAAGGTTGAAAAGATACTGCTTTTATTGATATAAATGTATATTCAGTATTTTAAAAGAGATCCTATCCTTGATTTTCTAAGGAAGCAGAGACAAATTTGAATATTACTAAGATCTACATCTGGGCTGAGCTCGGTGGCTCATGACTATAATCCAGCACTTTGGGAGGCCAAGGTGAGAGGATTGCCTGAGCCCATGGTTTCAAGACCAGCCTGGGTAACTTGGTGAGACCTCATCTCTACAGCAAATCAAAAAATTAGCCAGACGTGATGGCTCGTGTCTGTGGCTCCAGCTACTTGGAAGGCCAAGGCAGAAGAATTGCCTGAGCCCAGTAGGTCAAGGCTGTGGTGGCCATGAGTGTGCCACTGCACTCCATCCTGGCAACAGACTGAGACTACAACTCAAAAATAAAAATAAAAAAACTTCATCTATAGTAGATTCAATGGAATAATATATTTGAAAAAAGTAACCTTACAGAGGACATGTGTTTTCATTTCTGTTTTTTGGCAAATGTTATGACTGGATTCATTTTGAGGGTGCGAGGCAGGCAGTGAAGAGGTATAAAAGAAACCAGGTCACAATTTCATAAGCATTGCTGTGTCCTCATGAGATATTTTACCTTTAAATTAAGCATGTGATGTCTGACTCTACCTATGGATGAGATATTGACACTGAGGCAAATCCTGTAACAGTGAACAGCTCCAGGGCTTAGTTGGGATCTCCATATAGCATTTCTCACTAAAAAGATACCATTCTTGGCACAGTGGTTGGTTCTAGGGGAAGACCCTCCGAGAAGAGTGTGAATCGTTTTGTCACGCTAGAGAGCAGAAGCCATAGAAAGCTGCTGTGTTGTGAGAAAGGATCAGGATCCTTCTGGAAGGCTGCAGATGGTCACAGGCAGTAGATTTCAACATCAGTAAGAATAGCTGCATGGACTTAAACATCATATGTGTTTAATTTTATTAATCTATAATGATATTAAAAAGAAAACTTCGTAAGTCATTTTTGTAGGATGCAAAGGAACCATTTCATTTTGAATACTGTTTTGAAAAAAGAGGTAATCCAGCATTTAGCCTGCCTTCTTTATGAACTGTACCTCAAGCCAACTAGATAGTGGATGGATGTTTATGATCTTTTCTTGTAGAAGTATCGCACCTAATAGTACGTGAAAAAGGAACTTGTGAAGCAGATTCATCCCATTCTACAGGCTTTCATGAAGGGGACCACCTGGATGGTACTGCTCCAGGTGTGGCCCATTCTTGGGGCCTGATGCTCTTGGAAGGTGGGAGCCCCCAAAAGATTAGGTTGTAGTGCCAAAATGTAAATCGTGACACCTTTCCTTACTCCAAAAAGCTGTGTTACAGAAAAATGTTGGCTGAGCCCAACAGCCTGTTTAGGGATGGAATTGATTTATATTTTAGCACAAGTTCTCATTTTATCACCACCTTGTAACCCAGCTGCATATACCCACACTGGAAGCATCTTTGATCTTGGCAGTCATGAGCAGACACAGGTGCCTCCTGATGTGAGCACACCCTTCACCTAGGAAACGTTCTTGCCTAATTCAGTCTGAATGCAATGAAGCCTCTGGATCAAACTGCAAAGTTATAGAAAACAGAGTGGTTAGAGGTACATGTTTAACAACACCAGGAGGGCTCAGTTAGCAAAGTCCAGATTATGGGAAATTTACAGGATAGAGCATTGTTTCTGCATTAAAAATTGCAAGTTCTAAAATAAGAGATGAGAGGAATTGACAGATTAAAAATAACTGGAGAAAGTATGTTATTCCTGTCTTATTTGGATACAAATTCAACCAAATTAATTGAAAAAAATGGGATAAAGTTTATGTTTGATAATATTAAGAAATTAATTTTTAATTGTGATATATCTTGCTTCATAAAGCAATTATATTATTATGATGTTTACTATATCTAGATATTATACATTGTTAAATAAAGCAATTAGATTTGGGGGAAATGTATTAGGAAAAGTAAACTCTAAAACCAGTGTTTGACCTGACAAGGTAGCTTAGAAAGTATGAGGTATGAGGCCCGAGAGAGGGCCCAGCCCACTAAAAATAATTGTCCAGCACTGATTTTGTCTGGACAATTATTTTGACCAGGGAAAGGTTGGTGTTGGAGCAAAAGGAATTTCTGAACAAGGGTTTTCCCAACAGGTCACTCAGCTCTATGTGCCAGCATCCAGACATGTGTGGCGGTTCCGGCGGATGGGAAGGATCGGCCCACTGCAGTCCACCCTGGACGGTGAGTTTTCTAGGACACAAGTTTATTGATATGATTTATATACTGTAGAATTCACTCCTTTAGTGTATAGTTATGTGATTTTTGGCAAACTCATATAGCCGTGTAACCTCCACCAGAATCTATCTTGTAAAAACAGGTTCAGCACCCTGAAAAATTGCCTTGGGCTCCTTCGTGTCCATTCCCTCCACAGCCTCAGGTTTTGGCGACCACTGAGTTGTTTTTTGTCCCCGTTACCTTGCCTTTTACAGGATGTCTTTATTTTATTTTATTTTACTTTTTTTTGAGTTGGAGTCTCACTCTGTCACCCAGACTAGAGTGCAGTGGCCGCTCCCAGCCACCACAGCCTCGACCTGCTGGGCTCTGGCGATCCTTCCCCCTTAGCCTTCCGAGTAGCCGGAATTACAGGCATGTGCTACCACGCCCAGCTGATTTTTTGATTTATTGTAGAGAGGAGGTCTCGCTGCCCAGGCGAGTCTCGAACCCACGGGATCAGGCAATCCATTCACCTCAGCCTACCAAAGGCGCGGGATTACAGGCTGAGCCACCGAGCCCAGCTTACAGGATGTCTTTAGATGGAATCATGGTTGGCCTTGTGCGTCTGTCTCCTTCTGTTCAACGTGGTGTGTTTGAAATCGGTAGTGCTGTGTGTGTCAGTAGTTTGTTCCCTGTTATTGTTCAGTCTTTCATTGCATGAATGTACAGTACTTTCTTAATCTAGTCACCGGTTGACAGACATCTGGGGTTTTTTTTTAAAGTCTCTAGCAATTATGAATATAGCCACTATAAACATTTTTGTTTACTTGGATAAATATCTGGGAGTAAGAATCCTGAGTCATTTGGCAAGTGTTCGTGAACTTTATCAGAAACTGAAAAACTGGTTTCCAAGGTCACTGTACCTTTTTGCATTCAGACCAGCAGTGAATGGTTCCTGTTGCTCTATATCCTAGGTAGTACATGGAATTGCTGTTAATTTTTTTTCTTTTAGTCATTTTAAAAGATATAAAATACTTCACTATAGTTTTAGTTTGTGTTTCCCTCCTAATTATTTTGAGTATCTTTTTCATGTACTTGTTTTTTAATTATTGAATTTTGAGAGTCTTTCATATTTTCTGTGTCAGACATGTGATTTGCAAATATTTTCTCCCAGTCCATGGTTTGTCTGTCTTTCTCTTTCTTTCCTTCCTTTCTCTCTCTCTTTCTTTCCTTTCTTTCCCTCCCTTCTCTTCCCTTCCTTTCTTTTCTTTCCTTTTCTTCATTCCTTTCTTTCTCTTTCTTGGAATGATCTCACTCTGTTTCCCAGGCGGAATGCAGTGACACAATCCCAACTCACTGCAGTCTCTACTTTCTGGACTCAGGCAATCTCTCCTACAGGTGTGCGCCACTTCACTCGGCTAGTTTTTGCATTTTTTATAGAGACAGGGTCTCATTATTTTGTCCAGGCTTGTTTTTAGCTCCTGGGCTCAAGCAGTTCTCCTGCCTCAGCCTCTCAGAGTGCTGGGATTACAGGTGGGAGCTGCAGTGACCAGCCTTGTCTTTCTTTTCTTAGCAGTATCTTTTGAGGAACAAAATTGTTAATTTTGATATACTGGAAGTTTCTAACATATGAACAAGTTCCATTCCAAGAGCTCATTTGTAAGTCCAACAGAGTTAGCCTGGTACCCAATTAACACAATTTACTATATAGTATGTGTGTATTTAATAGGCTATACTGACACTTGGTGAAAAGAAATAATACATAAAAATATTCAGTTGTACATTGTTAAAGTTCGTAACTTGAAGGTTTATATGTAGGGGACAGACTGGATTTGGTACTACCTGTGTGGTCCTCAAATTTTCCTGTTTCCATCAACTTGTGAATTTGATGTTTGCTGTTAGTTTTTAGTAAAAATTGGGACATCAGTGTTTGAATCTTATGTCAGTTTGTTTAATGTTTTGGGCATGCTTAGCTCATCTTTTGATCAAAATTGATTTATCAGCAATTTCTATTTGAGGTATATACTGCCTTGTTTTGTTAGAATTGTTAAGAGATGTAATTTTTGTTTTCCAAAATTTTAAAGAAATATATTATTTTTGTTTTTCTTTTTTTGTGGTCAATTTTCTGTCACCGAGTAATATCTTCTGTTTTTTTCTCAGTGAAAAAACATTTGCGGTTTAAAATATTACTCTGTCCACTCATAGATTTGCACCCAAATACTCTTTGACCATAAATTATTGTTTTACATAATATTTTTTTGTGGATATTGTTTTCCAGTGACATCCCTGGAAATGGCTGAGATACTAGAATGGCTCAGGTGGCGTAGGGAAGTTTAAGTAGAAGAGGTAGCTTTTGTGGTCTGACAGTTTCAGCAGACTAGAGTCACATAAATCGAAGAATGAAATTTTGAATGAAAGAAGAGCAGTTGTTTTAATCTGTTTGGCTTTTTCCTTCCCCTAATGCTATCTGAAGCATAATGATGTTACAAGAATACTTACATTATCAGACTAGCCCAGGTTTTGTTGCAGATTTTGGAGAACGCCTGCATGGCTTATTTTTGCTACTGCAACTGCACTATGCAGCTGTCAAGGTCTTAGGCATGGCCTGTCATTTCATCTGCTTAATGAAGATCACAGCAGTGCTTTTTCTTTTTCTGTTTTTAACAAGTTCCTCGTTTATTATGCTGTTTTTCTGGTGGCTTATGGCTGAAGTATTTTGTTTTTGTTTAGTGGTATTTCTTCCGGTCCAGAGTTTGTTATTTAAACCCTTTCAATGCAGCTACATTCATTTTTAAAAATACTGTCAACACGATGATGTGAAAACCACAGGAAACAATGTGTAATTTGTTTAATCTCACTTGAGTTAAATCTTAAGATTTAGTACACTAACCTTACACTAAGCCTGTCACACTAAGCCCAATCAGTTGTATTTAGTTGTGTTGTATTTATTCATTTGGAAGGACCTGGATTTCTAAATACCTGTGTATTGATGATTATCCCATATTTCCTTGTATAGTATTTTATTTACTTATTTTTTGAGTCAGAGTTTCACTCTGTCACTCAGGTTGTTGTGCAGTGGCATGGTTACAGCTCACCACAGCCTCAGACTTATGAGCTCAGATGGTCCTCTGCCTCAGCCTCCTGAGTAGCTAGGACTACAGGCATGTACCACCACACCCTGCTCATTTTTATTTTTTATAGAGACGAGATCTTGCAGTGTTGCCCAGGCTAGTCTCGAACTTCTGGGCTCAAACAGTCCTCCTGCCTCGGCTTCCCAAAGTGCTGGGATTACAAGTGTGATCCATCACATCCATATTTCCTTTTAAAGAGAAAAGTCCTGATGGGGAAATAGCAGTAAAATTAAATAGGCAAATTAGTTAAGCAAGTGTTTTATATTGCTAAGGCACTTAATCCTTATTTTTGTAGTCCATACTGAGTCTAATCACATGTGTTTTCTGGGCATAATAATCTTATGTTTAATAATGGCATATAATTTAAAATTTTTAAGAGTTTTAAGGTACTATAATTATTGAGTTTTAGAAAATCAAATTATATTTTATTAAAGCTTTCTAAGAATTTGGTATTTCTCAGTAGTTTTGGAGAACTGATAAGTCCTATGATTCGTTTATTGTAGCCTTTTATTCCTTGGTAGTATTTAGAAATTTCTTTGATTCTAAACATTAGTAGGTTATCTCATCTTACAGCTTTCTTGGTTCAACCCATTCTCAGTGGAAACATGTCATGTCTTTCTTCTGCTTTGCTTATCCCAGTGTTACACCAGTTTGTCTTTGTGATTTACTAAGCGTGATAGCATGCCTGGTATTCACAAGGGGACATTAAGGGACAGTATTTAACTACACTGGTGTCTGCCGGTGGTGGGAAGATGAACCGATAAATTTTGAGGATTTACCTAATTCTTAGTAAACTTTACTGAATCTTCAAACACATAAAAATAGTATTGGACTGATACTTTCAGAGTAACTAGTCATTATACTCAGTCTCCTGCTAGTTGAACTATATTATATAAAATTTCAACTACCAATATGAATATATTTTGTAGGTGTAAAATGAGTTTATATTTGAAGAATTCTAAGCCTAGTGGATTTTTTAGTAAAGTAATTATATGGAGAAAAATATATGTTTTTTACTACAGAGATAGCCATGTACTTCTAAAGCTTGGGCTAAAAATAAATGTAGTAGTGTATTATGACACATAATGAGTGCTGATTTCCTTAGAGTCCATTGCTATTAGAGTTTATTTAAGTGATGATAAAATCTAGCTGGGCTGGGTGTGGTGGCTTACACCTGTAATCTCAGTGCTTTGGGAGGCTGAGGCAGGAGGATCACTTGAGTCCAAGAGTTTGAGAACAACCTGGATAACAAAGCAAGACCTCATCTCTACAAAATAAATACTCCCGAAAAACATTCTAGCTAGTATCATGCCTGGAGTAGACTCTTACTTAGTAAGTATGCTACATATTTGTTAAATAAATAAGTAGTTGATTTCAGAGTAGTTCAATAAAATGTGTTTTATATTTTTTGGTTTTTACTGTTATACAGAGTGTAAAAGAAAATCTTACTCAGAGTCATTTAATAAAATGATTTAAAATCTTCAGGGATTCCCTCCTTCTTGAAATGAATTTGAAAAGGCCAAGTAATGATTGATTATGCCTCCCACAGCTCTGTTATCATTGGGAAGGAATAGGACACACATTTATTAATGAAATAATGACCAAGGGCTCACTGCATCCAGCCCTCTGCTAGGCACCATCTGGTACACACACCCCTGGCCTGGGAGGAACTGTTGACGTAATAGGAGGAAAGTCTAGTATACTCGGGCCTCACTGTGGGCATTAGGGGCAACTGTGGCTGTGCCTTGAGATGTGATTATCGGTTGGAGATTTAGAATTTGATTAGGATATCTGTAATATCAGATCAGAGTATGTATCAGGGGAGCCACAGAAGACTTCTTTCCTGATCCCACACTGTGCAGGTACAGTTTGTGCAGTGGTGATGGCCTGAAAGATGGGATTTGGGGCCTGAGGGGATGTGTTCATGGGGGTGGAAGTAGACAGGTGGGTTAATAGGTTATTTTAGTGTTTTGAGAGTGATTTTATGAATCCTGAACTTAAGAACTCGTGGCCATTGCCTTACTACACTCTGGTGTGGACATGTGCTCTTTGAGCTGGAGACGTTGCCATGTTTCCTGGCTTTGGTCCCCATCTCCTTCCTTGGGGAGGTGAATCTTCTCTCTCTCTCTCTTACTTTCTAAATAAGCTATATTTCTTCCTTCCTTCCTTCCTTCCTTCCTTCCTTCCTTCCTTCCTTCCTTCCTTCC